TTTGTAAGCGCTGGAATATCAGATAGCTTTTTTAATTTGCTATTTTCCAATGCAAAATGTAAAATCAAGTAATCAGATTAATGAATCTGTTTTAGCCTGAAAGGTATCATTTATAGTATAAAAATCAAATTAATCAATTTTAATGATACTGGGTTACCCCTGAACATATTAGCTAGTTATGAATGCCATTTGTTTTCTTTGTCAATTTTTAGCAGTAAGCATAGTCGAAAATATTTTATTAAAATACTGCAGTAAAAAACTATTTCAGTTTGAATCGTATGTTACAGTTGTAATGCACGACCGCATGTTGCCCGTGCTGTCCTAATTTTCTTCAATACAGAGGGTGTTCGTCTATTTGCCTGGTCAGCCCATTCTCCAGATCTTTCATTCATTGAGAACATGGGCTACGAAATTTCTCTTGAACATGAACTGCTGAGAGATTGGCACGGCACCACTGACCAGTCACTAACATTGGTAAACTGTGTCCCAGAGCTCAAGATGGATGGAATGAAATATCCACATGTATCATCTAGGCTCAGTTCGACTGGATGCCCAGCCGAATTACAGTCATTGTTGATGCCAGAATTTGCAGCTCTGTATATTAAATTCTGCACGCTGTATACCCTAAATCAGCTTCAAATTTTATCTTGCTGTCCTCTCATTATATTGTAGGTGTGCAATAAATAAGATCTTACGATATGCTTTCCTTCCTGGTATAGTAAATTTAATGGCCAGCAGTGTGTATAAATAAATAGCTTCACAAATAATCTGAATCTTAATCACACTCCACTTGTCTGAAATCCTTGTTAATAGAAATGATATGCAAAATTAACAAACATTCACTCGTGTCCAACAATATTTTTTTCGTCCCCGAAAGCTTTGGGTTTACAACAAATTGTGAAATAAACAGTAAATTGTGAAATATATCTTTTCAAGTAATAAATTTACATGTCTTTAACAGATTATGTCTGTTTGAATTTGTGTTACATGAAACAAGTTAGAAATTACCTGTTGTAGAAACAGGTTGTCTTGCATGGAGCAAACTAGAAATTTTAATTATATTTTAATATTTTATAAAACATTCTTAAAAGAATTTTGGCATTCTGTAAGGAAATCTGTCGGTGGTGAGTCACTGAAACTGACAATATACTCATATAATATATATGTATATATATAAATGTAATAATAAAATTCCATAGTCAAGAATACACTTAAAATTCTAACTATGTTCTTTTCATTTTTAATGGCGACGTTCTCTTATTTGAAAGTACGTGGAATTAAATCCATAGCCCCGTAGTCAAGTTGTTTTTCCCGCTTTTTCTACACGTATACTTTAGAATGTTCTGGAAATATTTAAAGCGAACTGGATAGGCTGACGTCATTTCTTGGAAGCTCCGCCTTTCCAGAGGCTATAAAAGAACTCGCAAAAGAATATCGGGGGCTTTTCTTAATGTCACGATGCAGTAAACTTCACACAAAAAGTTATTAGTAATTCTTTTTATTTACTCCGGTTATCTGATTTTGTAACTGCTATTTCTCCTGAATAATAATAAATGGATCCTTTTTTTTTTAAACTTATCATCTGATAATTTAAGCTACGACTAAAGCTGGTACATCACATATATATATATATGCATTTTTACTTATATACTGTATATAGTAATCTTGTGGCCATTATCATCGATTAAACGTAGAAACGATTCTTGATAGTTACCCAGTAACCCACATTTGAGAATGCACTCAAATGTTCTCTGGCAAAACTATATTTTCAACCCTTATTTATTTGGCCAGCACCTGTTATTAGATACCCATTAACTCTGATGATACCCGAAAAACTGCCGTCACCATCCTTTTTAGTATTTTTGAATTTCTGGCCATGCCATTTGGTTTACGTAACTCAGGCCAGACTTTCCAACGTTTATATACAAAGTTTTATTTGGATTGGACTTTTGTATTCCACACTGTGACAACATATTTATTGCATCAGCTAATGAAGAACATATCAATTATCTCCATCAAGTATTTGAATAAACACGGTTTGATTTTAAACCCATACAAATGTGTACTAAGAAAACTATCAGTTTATTTATTAGGTTGTTATATCACTGCCTACGGTGTAAAACCTCTGCCCCAAAAAACTAAAATAAATCATCGATTTCCTCAAATCTACCACTATAGTCGAGTTTGGACGCGTTTTTTTAACCATGATAAACTTCTACCATTTCTTGTTATCAATAGCAACTGAGGCTCAAGCTCCTTTGCACAATTTCATCAAAGATCCAAAGAAAAATGATAAACGGCCCATTCCTTGGAGCAACAAACTTAATGAAGAAGTTGAAAAGCGTAAGCACGACCTAATTAATGTAGCACTCTCAGTTGTCAATCTTCTTGTCAAAAGCTGAGTTTTATGATCGACACTTCTGATACTTCCATCAGAACAGTCTTAAGCTCTCGACAAATTAACAACTAACAGGCTTTAGAATTTTTTTTGAGAAAGCTATCTTCCACTGAATAAAAATACAGCACACATGACAGAGAGTTACTCATCATTTATCCAGCTATAAAATATTTCATATATAATCTCAAAGGTCAACATGTCATTACCAACCATCGACCTCTAACTTACGTATTCACTTCAAAATCTGGAGGAATGTTTCCACCGTGTTTCACACCTGATGCAATGTTTTCATTGTGATCTAAATGCTGCTCTCAAGTTCATAATAACATTTGCTGGATTACATTACTTTCTCTTGTTCTTTGTGGTCTACGTTCTTTAAACAAGACATCCATCGAAATTGTTTATGGCATGGCACTTTGACTACCATCCGAGTTCTTTCAACCATCCTCTGCTCTGGACTTTACGAGATAGTCCTTCCTCCAGACTTTCTGAGAAGCGATGAAAATGCTGTCACTGTCTGCTACATCATGCTACAACCTCATTCGTGCATTCTAAACTAAGCACTTGCATTCATGTGTTTGCCGGTAAAACCTCTGCTCACTCTAGCATGCGAGAGTCTCTTCAGTCTGTGCACACAGCATCCTCTTCTTTCACTCGGCCTTCCGCTTCCTTCCACGGCTCAACAACTCGTCACACGCTCAGGAAGACGTGCACATATCATACCAGGTATTTTTTCTTAGTACCTTTGGCCCTTGGGGGAAAATTATGAAGAACTCTTAAGTAGCTGCAAGATCCAAAAGATAGCCTTATTTAAGCCTTCTCCTTCTCTTTCTGCAAGGAAGAGAATTTGTGACTGACCCAAAGAATGTCTATTCTGCAATATGCTGGCTGAAATAGCATGCATGTTATTTACCAACTTTCGCTTGTGATTACTTTTTGATTGCGCTGAGCTACTTACATCTGATAATTATTTTTGTTATCTTTGTATATGTGCTAATATATTTTATAATCTAATTAAAGTAATGAATGTAAAAATGGGTATATCCTCTTTATCCTTGCATTAACATACAGGGGTTGGACAAAAATATGGAAACACCTTTAAAAAAACATGTTTCTTTGCTTAATATGGTGTAGGAAACCCGTTGGCATCCAAAACAGCTTGCAGTCTTCTCGGAATGAATAAATACAGTTCTTGTATGTTTGCCAAGGGAATATTATACCATTCTTCCTGCAAAACGGTGGCAAGTTCAGATAACGATGTTGGCGGTGGATAACGAGAACGCACTTTCCGTTCCAATGTAGACCACAAAGGTTCGATAATATTCAGGTCTGGTGACTGTGGTGGCCAGGGGAGATGGGACAACTCATCCTCGTGCTCAGAAAACCAGTCCTGGACAATGTGAGCTGTGTGAACAGGGGCTTTGTCGTCTTGGAAGACACCATCACCATCGGGGAACAAAGTTTGTACCATGGGATGAACTTGATCGGCCAAAATGTTCACATAAGTCTTGGCAGTCATGTGCCCTGACACAGTTATCATGGGGCTAGCAGAGAACCACGATATGGCTGCCCAAACCATAACAGAACCCCCGCCATGTTTCACTCTTGGCAACAAGCAGTCTGTATTATAGGCTTGAGATGGCGTTCTCCAGACGTAAACTCGGCCAGAAGTGGGAAACAATGTGAAAGAAGACTCGTCAGACCATATTACTCGCTTCCACTGCTCTATAGTCCAGGCTTTATGACTTAAACACCACCTTTTCCTGTTACGGGCATTAGCATCACTGATGAGTGGCTTCTCAATTGCAGCACGGCCAGCAATTCCCTGTTTATGAAGCTCCCTTCTAATTGTTTTGGTACTCACAGGGTTCGGTAACACAACATTCATTTCAGCAGTAACTTTTGCAGCTGTGGTCTTCTTATTTTTCGTCACAATTGCCCTTAATGATCGTCTGTCACGATCACTCAGGACACACTTTCGTCCGCGCTGTGATTTAGCAGATGATGTTTTTCCGCTTTTCAAATATGCGGAATAAATCTTCGATACAGTACCTCTTGAAACACTAAACACCTCGGCTACCTTGCTTACGGAAGCACCTACCATACGTGCTCCAACAATTTGCCCACGTTCGAAGTCTGTTAACTCTGACATAATGCAATGACAACCTCACATAACAGTACTCCGACAACAACTGAACTGTTTAGCACATTTACGAAGTTGTATAGGTGGCGTCAGTAGTCAAAAATGCCAGCGCCACCTACATATTTCATTAAAATCAATCTTTCTTTTCAAACATGCATTTCACAAGGTGTTTCCATATTTTTGTCCATCCACTGTATGTCTCTATGGAATTGTGAATCTATAGTCTCTACTACTCTAAAACATGATAAGGTTATACAAAATGTTAGCAGCTATATGACATCATAGCTATTTTGTTTCTTACATTCTCAACTCAGAATATTTTGATTGAAAAATGGGTAAAATATTTGCATACATTGATTATATGAAAATGATAAGAATTAACAATCTTATTAAATGATTTTATAAGTTTTATAACACAAATTGTATTTTTAAGTAAAACAAAAATTAAAAGATAAAAAGGATGTTTCAATATTTTTTATTAACTTTAAAAAAGATCTATTTTCAATACTAAAACAATATAAAATGTAGATTCAGTTCTGAGTGACCATAGATCATTTTGTAAACAAAACTTGCATCAAAACATTAACATTTGCAGTTAAAATGTCAATAAGATTTACACAATATTATTAATAACAGTACATTAAGTCAATTCTAAAGTATCATTTTCAATATTGGAATGTACAATAATTGGATCCATAAGCAAGTCAAATGACTAGAGAAATAAGAAGCAGGCAAAATTCATAATTCTAAAATACCATATTTACTTTCATATTTGTTTCTTCAAAATAAAAATATATAAAAATAAAATTCAGATTCATAAAAAATATGTAAAAATAAAATTTCTATGAAACTCACATTTTTGTCTACATTTTCTAACTAAACACAAATTTGTAGGAATTTTTTCCCCAGATAAACCAAGATGGTTAAGCTAGTTGTCAAAATAAGAATAAGACTACCTGCTTAATAGAAGGGAAATGTTTATATGAAAATTAATTAGAAGCTTGATATGAAAATTAATTAGATAACAATTTAAAATCAGAAAATTTTACACAGAAAAACTTGAAATCAAATGCTGATTATTTTGATGTGAAAGAGAATAGCTATTTCTCAAAACGGAATAACTATAGTTACAGAAATCATACATCATATTGCTTATTAGAATTACAGACAAATATGAATATGAATATGCCCAGTTTATTTATTGCAAATATTCATTTTGCCTGCTGATACATAAAAACCAATTTACAATTTTGCATGCATATTTTTAAATTATCACAGGGTTAAAATATTGTATCACAGTTAAGTAAAAGTTCCTTGGCACTTTGACATGTCTATCTTAGAATTTAATTCAATCCGGTCATTCATAACTGGATCATAAATGGTTCATTCCATTAGTCTTCAAGCCTCTCATAACCATCTCCAATATCTCGTTTAGAAACTTTTGGTTCAACTGAGGAAGTTTCCGGAATTGTTAAAGACACTGAAGGCTGTAAATATGTTAAAAAATGTTTGCATTAATAAATATTTTACAGGTGTGTATAATAATATATTTATCAACAGTCTGGGTAATTAATTAAGATCAATCTTTATCAATAAAGTAATTCAGGTTTTTGTAATAAAAATATCCTACTCAATTTTATCATTAATAAAATAAATTCTTCTCATTAAGGGTACACATACTTAATACAACACAAAATTCAATATCAAAACATAATAATATAATGCAATATTAAATAATACTTTGACGACTAACTGTCAAAGTATTCTTTAATATAATTGTCAAAGTATTATTTAAGTCCTCTCCAACAAAATCAGTGTAACATCTTGCTGGTGGTTTGAGGATGCTTAAGTACGACAGATCAAAAAACCTCTGTTCCTTAGAAAAGGTAACTGGTTTTTGGTATTGTACAATTGTCAAAGCTCTCTGTTTTCTTTCAAAAATCTTTCATATTACTTAATAAAAATACAACATTATACAAAATTAAGACTGAAACTTAAGACAAATAACTTGTGTAATCAAATTAAAGTCTTTTTAAATTTTGCAAAAATATAACTGAGCAATACCCTACAATAAGAAGAAAGAACAATTTTGTTTAAAAATTAATATGTGTGTGTTTGTGGTAGCACTTCGTGCTGAACTCAGATGTCAGAGGAAAATGAGTCTGCTAAAGAAAATGGAAGTCTGTCTCATGGCCATAGCTGAATCTCCTAACAGATAAAATTAAAATTTTAGGAGGGGGTTGTAAGAGTGTAGCAAGCATGTGCTATCACTTCTTGTATCCTCCCTAAAGAGAGGATGCAAGGAGTAATACAGAGTGTGAAACCTAATGTCAGAAAAGTAAAAAGAATAAAAACCTTAGTCTTTGAACGAACATTTGGTATTAAATCCAGATTTCCAAAATGTGGTGTTAGTTTTTCCTCTTCTTATCTTCTGGGCTATGCGGGACATATACAACTAATTTTTAAATGAAAAAGTGTCGGAAGAAGGAAATGCAGGATAATATTAACATTTTGTGTGTTACCTTCACACTTCCCCCCTGTGCAGTGTTGCCATTGCTCGCTTTGAAATCATTTAGTTTGTTTATAAAAAAAATTTTAAAGTTTTACAAAATATGAGATAGATAAAACAAATTCCAAATTAGGCTTCCAGATGCCCATATTCGGATGGTGGATTACATTATTCAAAAATTGATGGCACTAGGTAATGCTGTTTTATCACAATGAAAGAAACATACATACATTTATGCAGATTCTTCAGTATTTAATTTCTTTAAATATAATTTTGATAAAGATTTCTGAAAATCTGAAAAGCGTTACACTCTTTATAGTGATTTGACGCAAAATACCAAAATGAAATTAATAGGCCTTCTGGGCTAATGCTTTTGCACTAATAATGTATTGTTACTTACAAATGTACCACATTTTTTGCAGTGACATAACCGCAATTCTATGGAAGTCATCAGTGAAGAAGACTTTGTGATTATTTGCACAATTCAAATTCAATGGCAAAATTCCTTTTTCTTGACAGGAAAAATTACTGCTCTTTCTTCAGAAGAAGGTAAATTGTACATTTTTTACCTCAGAAAAATTTAATCTAACATGATTTTATATGTAGAGATTGTTGTTTGAAAGATAAAATAAATTTAAACTGTTTCTATTTTGATGGGGTTACTAAGCTGATTCTTGATCATGATTACCAATATGGTAATCATGAGTTCACAAACCAAGGTTTAATATTTTGCACCTAGCTAAAGAAAATGCTTCTCAAACTGTGTTAAAAGCTTCCTAAAAACCCACTTGTTTTCTAAGGAACTCCTAGGGATTTCTAGGAATTTTTAATGAATCATTAGAAAATGATTCTATGAAATGTTCTATGAAAAATACTAGACTTATAAGTTATATCTATATGGAGGTTCCTAAAATTATGAATATTATTTCAAGTGCACTATAAGGATAAGTAAGGTAAAATGAATGAGAATGCTGATTTGAACATAACTTACAAGTGTAGTATTTGAGCTGAAAAATACTACACTTGTAAGTTATGTTTATGCAGAGGTTCCTAAAGTTATAAATATTATTTCAAGTGCTCTATAAGGGTAAACAAAGTTATAAAATACTGATCTGGAGCCTAGGCCGTTCCTAGGCCATTGGCTGTCCACATACTTTCCTAAGATTTCTGTCCCCAAATAATAATAATAATAATAATAATAATAATAATAATAATAAATAAATAAATAAATAAATAAAAACTCAATTATTAGTAAAACGTTTCTTTCATACTCACTAAGTAATTCCATATGCAAATTTTATAAAAAGTACTTACATATGACAAGTACTTACAATGAATTTTAAATATTTAAGTGTGATATCGCGAGAGTTCGGTTGACCCTGATTTTAGCCACCCGTGTACTTTTACACACTGCACCCCTGCTAGGAACGGCCCTGTCTGGAGCCCAAACTCAAATTCTTTTCAATATTTTTTCTGATACTTCTGCTCTAGAAATTCCTGATAAACTGCATGTTTTGGACCAAAAGCAACAACTGAAAGTTTGTTCTTATTTTTAAAAGATCAACAAATATGCTGATAGAGGAGCTAACTTTCTTTACTTTCCGAAGCATGAAATACTTTGTTCTCCTCCACGTGACTTATCGACACGGAATAAAAAATATAAAATTATAACCTAATAACACTATAAATAAAAAGTCTATGACCGACTTCAAAGCATGTTGCAATTTATGGGTTGGTTAACGTGCTTAATACTGATCACGCAACAGCAAAATTTCTACAACACTTACTTAAGCTTTTCAGCTTCTCTAGAACTTATGTTTTGGAAGTTGGGCATAACTTTTCATACGGTTGGAATAAAAAATTATACAACTTCCCAAAACAGGTTCAAATTAAAAAAATTTATGTTGTTGCAAGACTTCTGCATCAAACTATTTTAGCATATTTCCTAAATTTGACAATATCAACTTTGTTTTGAAAAAGCACTTAATATCATACCAATACAGGGATAGTTTCTCGCTCAGGATCAACTTCTTCATATTTCTTTGATTTAAAATAGACCCTCTTTTTCATTAAGTACAACACAACAACATCACAGATCACAACCTCCTAAAGAAAAAAGAAAAAATTGACTTCATTATAAAAAGAACAATACAATTCTTTATTATAAACAAATCATTATTTTATATAATTATAAAATGTATATATTAAATACAAATCTTAAAAAGGCTTTAGTTTTTAAATTTGTTTTATTAATTATTTATAAACTACAAGATATGCTTATATTTTATTGTTAATGCATAAAATAATGCCATTTATGAATTTTTATACAACAAATAATTTTATTATATATTTTTGATTTTATATTATTTTTGATTTTATATATTTATTTATTTATTAGTTATTATATAAAATACAGTTTGTGAAATTTCCTTTTTCCAAACATCTCATTTTATAATTGCATATTATCATTGACAGAAAAAGTATCATTATTTGCCTGTTTTGGTAAAAGAAAATATAATTTCAATTGAATATTTAAAATACGAGGAGGCCACCTTCCTTTTACCTCAAAAAGTATTTAGATTCATTTTTCTGCTCCTTCAGAAGGTCTGAATTTTGTTCTCACCAAATTAAGTTTTGACACCAATCTGCATTGCCTTATGCTACGAGTTCCTCAAGATCTTCTTAATTATTTGACAGGTAGACTTATTTGCTTATAGCAAATAACAATTTTTACATATCTTGAATAGACCACGAGTTTTGGGATCAACTGTACTGAAAAGACCGATTAATGAATCCTAGCTATGTCTTTGAAGAACAGTTACTGCAGAAGAAGGTTTAAATAACCTTTTTATTTGAACAAAACAAAAATTGCACTAACTCGGTGCTTACACTTACCACTACTTGTGGCTAAGTAACTCGGACAGAAAATTAAAATGTAAAATCACAATAAGTAAGATGTGCTCTGGCAATGTACACAATAAGTAAGACTGGCTCCTTAATTATCTAAACCATTAAATTGGCTGCACACAGCAAAGCCAAACCCAGAATATTACTATGATCTAAAGAAAGTGGCTAAGCACCAACTATACACCTACAAAGATACTTCAAACATGTGGCATCAATACGGGACTATTCTCCTCCTACTACTCTTAAAACCATTGCTTAAATACTAATTCCGAAATCACTCAGATTTGCATACTACATCACTAAAACTTACATTCTGGCAAGAAACTGAAATCAAAAGAGAAAGGAAAGTTTCACAACTAAAAATAATTGGTTAAAATAAGTTCTTTACACGATCACTTCTAGAATGTTAAAAAAAAAAAGTGTTTTGAAAACTTCTGGAATTTTACCAAGTTGCCCACCCCCCCAAAAAAAAGCATTAACTTAATTGTAAAATTTGTTGCTAAACTCCAGTAATTATTCTGAGCCTATGTCTTTTGTTTTCAAAGTTCCAACATCAATCAAATCAGAATTAAAAGCTCTATGAAATAATACATAAATTAAGCACACACAAACACATTAAATAATCACAAATTAAAGTATACAAAATACAGAATAAACAAACACACTAATTCACATAAGAATGAATTAAAATAAATGAATAAATAATTCCATAGAAGATCATAATAACAAGAAAACTTGAATAATTGACTAAAGATCACTTTACTGATGACCGAAAACTGAGTGACTACAGATCACTTAGTTATACTGTCAAAATACTTTCAATTGAAAAAAAGAAAAAGAAGTACTTTAATTCTTGGGATTGCTATATTTTTAAGTCCCACAGAAAAGCAAAATTTCTGCTATATTATTTGAGTTATATTTGTTTATTAGAATAAAGATACAAGAATCCTGATTGAACAAATACAGAGATAAATAAATAATATAGAGAAATAAAGATACAAGAATCCTGTTTGTTTATTATAATGAATATATAAGACCCTTGAACCCTAGGGTTCAGCAGAATCAAGGTTGAAGACCTCTGTACTAGGCAATGAGTAAATACGATTTAAATTGAAATAAAAATTTGGGGGAACCAATACTTTTTGAAATTCTATTCTCCTAGGAACCCCCCTTTTTTAAAGCATCACATTTTCCTGCTCACTTGCTAACATGTGATTGGCTCACTTCTCTCTATCATCTGTCATATTTGTCTTAAGATTAGTAAGATGTAGACTGGGTGCAGATTGCACCTATTATGATATCAGAAACAATATATGCATCTCAAGAATTTGTTTGTTCAGAGATAAATTATGTTTGAATCTACAGCTATGTTTGTCTGCAAGTTACACCATTCTACTATGCAGTTAAGCGTTCACATGCTGAATATCTACAGCCATCGGCCATGATTAAATTTATTTGTACCTTCTGTTGCATTCCTAAATTATTACACACATATAAGAAAAAAAATCTGAAAGGTTTCAGATTTTAAATTACATCCAAAGGGGCATTTTTTAAAACATTTTTTGCATTACCTTTATATATTAAATATCATGTTCTTTGCACTTAACACAATAAAATGCAGTTCAAGAGCAATATCGCAAAATAATTTAAAACTGAGCATATCTTTAGAATTTCCGATGCACAGTCTCGCGCACTGGAGATTAAAATGTTTTTTCTCTACAACGTTTCTATTGCTTGCTTTGAAATGCTTGGAGTCTGTGAATCAAAAAAAAAAAAAAAATTACAAAATATGAAATAAATAATAAGCCCAATTTCAAATTTGGGCTTCCAGATGTCCATATTCACAGGAGGATTATGTTATTCAAAATTGGATGGTTCTAGGTACCGGTGTTTTATCACGATGCGAGAAACATACATACATATATGCAGATTCTTCATAATTTAATTTCTTTAAATATAATACAGGGCAATAATATTTGGTGACAACAATTTGAAAAGTGAAACAATGCTTGTAGTGAATCAATGCAAAATGCCAAAATGAAATTAATAGTCTTTCTGAGCAAATTGCCCCTTTGGACTTAATTAAATTTTCTTTCAATTTCATCCTTAGATTTATCTGTTTAATATACCAAAATGAAACTTGTATTTTATATCCTGCACTTGAGAAAAATTTCAGCATGTGTATTAAATTCTGAAGAGAATTCAAATTACAAAACAGTGAAGTTTATAATGACCAACTTGATAGAAATGATATGCAAGTACTCAAATTATTTCTTTTATAAAATTTTCCTCACTTTTCTCTGCAATAAATTTTAAAATTAATATGAAAATTTTAAATATCATTTATTTATTTATTTTAATTCGGCTTTAGAAATCACTATTTAAAAACTTCATTTTTACTAAAATTAAACTCTGTAGTAATATTTGACTATTACAAGTTACCTAAGATGTATACCTAACTGAAAATAACAATATAAATCAAATTTATTCAATATTTATGCCATTAATATTTGAACTACATTATAGAAAAAGACAAATTTTTAGGATTTCTATAATTATTTAGATTTTTAAAGCCTTTTAGCAATACTGATATTAAACTTACGTATTTAAAGTTAACACACATACAAGAATAATAATAAGAAAAGGCTTACTAAAGCAAGTAATCCAAGACCAGCACCAACATTTTGTAGAAGAGGCACAATTCTAAACTGTCCAGCTTGACCAACAACACTTATTGACAGTCGTATACCATACATTTTATATAATGTACGTCTGTCATCATTGTAATAATTGGCATACCTACATAAAATACATATAAAAGCTAATGAATATTTCTGTAAATTTAATATGCAAATATAAGAATGGTATTTTAATAAAGGGGAATCTCTTATCTATCAGCCAAAAAATTAAAAACATATGCACAATTAAAAGGGTACAAAAATCCCTACAAAATAAACAATTATTGTATAATAAAGTATAATTGTTTTGGTTCCATATTTAGAATAAAAGACAAATACTGTTTCAAAGAATATAATACTTTACTGCCAAATAAAAGTACCAAAATGTTTTTTTTCCATTAAAAATTGCCATGCAAGTTTAGTGTTATGCATAGCTGAAATGGCACTGTACGTTTTCGCTCTTGAAAATTGATATTAGGAAAAAATTATACAGTCAAAAGTCGTTAAACCGGACTTCGGCGATTCCGGATTATCGATTTTTCCGGGTTATAGATCATCAGTTTAAATCTGGTAAGATGGCATGCATAAAATAATAAAATTAAAAATATGAAACCGTAATTTATGAAATAAAGAACAATTATGATCTAAAGGGTATCAAAATTTACAAAAAAAAAAAGCTTAATATTTGTTTACTTTATTAAACATTTCTTTCAATGTAACTTGTTTACGTTGCTTCGTTTTATGCGATAATACTTTCTCTTTAATTCTATAAACAGACATAATTTCTTGTTCAGTTACAAAGTTCCGCTGTTCAGGTCCTATAATTACTGTGTCGAGAATACCGACTAATTTGTCAATCAAAATTTTTTCGTTTTCAATAACCTCTGTGTCACTTTATCACTATCGGAAGCGAATTATAATGATGAGGAATTTGATTTAAATCATATCAAAGATGGAACACATCGAGATGAAATGCTACACTTAGTAAGGAATTATAAGCCAAATAAAATAAAAATATCTGCCCTGAAGATAAGGATAGTGCTGACAGATCAACTTTCAATTCATTGCGTGCCGCGGCGTTTCTCCCGTATGCGCACACGCATATTCGCAGCCGTAAAGGTCTTATGCGCATGTGTAGATGCGACGCATGTGCAGAAAGTTTGTAGCTTTGAGGTCCGGTTTATGGGTGTCCGAATTAATGACTTTTGACTGTATTACTGGGATAGATTAAAAATTAGAAAATTCATTTATTTTTCAACAGAGGGATACAATATTATTATTATTAGTTACTAAAAGTTTTGGCAGACTACTACTGGAACATATATCATTTTCCCTTTTGCTTTTATGTAAATATGTGCAGCATTTTCATAATCTGACAAACATTAATTTTGAATCATAATTATATGATTACCTCTAATATATACAGTGTCATATACACAGTACATACTTAATGCTCCCTTTATTTTGCAATCATTGGACAAAGACATATACTTAGAATAGCAAAACCTTTCTTTTGCAATCACCGGACAAAAACATATACTTAGAATAGCAAAAATGGTTTGAATGATGTAAATATATATATATTGGCATTTTAAATTTAGAAAAAATTGCAAAAATTACAAAATTTAACTTTTTATACCACTAATTTCACAATTTTCTAAAAATTACAAAATACAGTCAAAAATCGTTAATTCGAACACCCATAATCCGGAATGATCTATAATCCGTACCTCATGATGCTAAAGCAAGGTTTAAAGTTTAAAGAAATTAAACATTTAGCAGTAGTAGCAATAAAAGCTCCCTGAGATATGTTGTGCAGACATTGAAGACAATAAAAGATTTTGAACTTACCCAATTTATTAACAATATAATAAAGAATAAAAACACAGAAAATAAATGTCAACAATATTAGAGTCTTAGGAAAAATATAATATAACCATCATTCATCAAATATTTTTACCTGGTCTCCAAAACACTGGCATTCTATACAAACAAAAATGTCCTAAACAGTAATTATGCGGCCTAAAAATAAAGCTGGCTACCCATTCAATAAGTCCATAATCAATGGTCAAGAAAAACACCTGAAAATTTAAATGAAGTTCTTGAAAGCACTTAAAACAGGCCTAACCCCGTTTGCATAAGGAGTTGCCGCTCACGTATTTTTAATTCCGCCTTCATTGAAGAACATGGATGCCACCCACAGCAGTCACTCACATGGTAGCCTCTGAACCAAAGAACTTTAATCTGGAGCAATCATCCCGCAAACCGGAACCAAGGCACTTTAATCGCCGGACTGCATGCATCCTTCTGAAGGGGCTGGAAACCGCTCACTCAAGTGCTGGGAAAGCAGGAACTAGAAGGGGTTGAGCTTGGATCATATCTTTACTGCTGGCTTTAGCTACTAGGAGCTCTTACCAGTATATTATCATTTTAGCATAGGCCATAAAGTTAAAAATTTAAGAGGTGTATTTAAAATACACCGCGCCCGAAGGCGAGATCAATAAATGAGAGAACTCATGAAATAAGTTTTGCTAAATTGCATATCATGGCATAGCATGGGTTATTATATACGTAAATGATGGTGAGAAGCGAAATGAAAGTCTAAGCTTCTGCGCGAGTCAAGAAGAGCAGGAAACACGTGATCAGCGTCCGGCATTTAGATTGGTCGAGGAGTCAGAGTTCGAAAAATGAAGTTTTTGTAGTTTTTGGCAATAAATAAAGTTCGAACATAGTAAAAGCAACATCTATTTGTGAATTTAAGAGTCCTTATGTCTTTTGAAACACTTGAAAATCTTCTAAACTTGCGATATAATCATTAAATGAATAGGAAACTGTAAAAGGCGAAAATGAGGTCATGTAGCTCACTAGGGCTAATGAGAGAGAGTAAGCACTTGGTGTTACCACGAACTTTGATTTTAAAACACACGATACGATATAGTAAAAATAAAAAGTAAAAATCTTGGTTAAATAAGTAGTAAAACGAAGAATTCATCGATGAAAAATAAAGTCCTAATTTTGCAAAGTTCATCTTTCTTGAATAGTAATTTTTTTTTTTTTTTAATACATTATATACACTACCACCACTCAGAATTGTGGTGGATCGTTCGAGGTCTTTTCACTACGTTCTCAATAGTAGGGTCATAGTCTGTAAGCGATTTAATAGCTTCATAGGGAGAATTTCTCATATCTTCAAAGAAGTTGTGTGCAGAAATTAGGATTTGGTCGTGAATTGGATTGATATCCAGGTCTTTGTGAATTTGAGAATTTCGCACGAACCAGGGTGCGTTCACTATGCTACGTAAGATTTTGTTTTGAAGTACATTTAATTTTTGTCTGTCTATTTTTCGGGCAGTAGCCCAGGCTGGAACTGCATAGAGGATTATTGGTCGAATAAGTGAGATGTAGATATTTTTCTTGGTACGGAGGTTTAACTTAGAGTTTCTTCCAATTAATGAGTAGAGAGCAATGAAAGCAGCGTTAGCCTTATTTGTAACATATTGAATATGATCTTTGAAATTTAGGGTTTTGTCAATATAGACACCTAAATATTTATAGGAGTTGGCAACAGGAATATCTTGGTTATTGAGTCGGATATTTTATATTCACTGGGATATTTTTTCTGTATCTGCGAAAGAGAACTACGCAGCATTTATCAGTATTTAGTTTGATTTTCCAGTCTTGACAAAATTTGTTAATAATGTTGACTTGGAGCTGAAGTTTCTCTAAAGCATTATTTGGACTTCGTGAACTGGTGAAGATGACTGTGTCGTCGGCATATTTGAGTATATTAGAATGAAAAGGTAGAGGCATATCATTTATGAATATTGTAAAAAGCTTCGGTCCTAAAAACACTGCCTTGAGCTACTCCACTGTAAATCACTTTTTTTGAAGAGATTGCTTCACCACAGCGCACTTGAAAAGTACGATGTTTAAAATAAGAATGCATAAGCTTAATAAAGCTGTTTGGTAAAAGGAAGTTAGATAGCTTATGAAGTAAGCCAGCATGCCACACTCGATCGAAAGCTTTTTCGAAATCGAGGAAGCATGCCGCTACTCCGTTCTTTTTTGTAAATTCTTGGGCAATAAATTCAACTAAATTTAATATTTGATGTGTGGTATTGTGGCCTTTGCGGAATCCAAATTGATGCTTGTCTATTAGATTAAGGCGTTCTAGATGATTGGTGAGCCGAGCACTAAGTACTCGTTCGAAAACTTTTCCAAGCGCTGGCAGAAGACTGATGGGTCTGTAATTTTTTGCTAGCTTTGGATCTTTTCCTGGTTTCGGGATCGTAACAATGATCGAATGTTTCCACTGCGATGGAAAGTAGCTGAGTCTAATACAAGCATTAAAAATATTTGTAATTAAGACTATGCATCTTCTAGGTAAAGCTTGCAACGCTTCATTAGAAATCATGTCATATCCTTTAGCTTTGCGCTTCTTTAATTTTTTAATAATTTGCTGAACTTCGTTTGGAGATGCAGGCGTAAAAAAATTAATGCTGGGACTGTTGAGGATGCTATTGACAGAGTAATTAATATCTTTTTCGTGATCAGAATTTTTATTTTCATGTTGTTTAAAAATGTTTTCTAATTCTTTTGCATGAATTTCAGCAATGGAGTCTTCGGAGTGGTGAATTTTGCCCATGTGATACAGGGGGTGAATTTGATTGGGTGAAAGATTTCTGAGTGATTTAGCTACTTTCCAAACAGAGTTTGGGTAAAGATCCATGTTTTCTAGGAAATTATCCCACGAATTTGATCGATGGGTGGCGATGTCTTCTTTTATTTTTCTGTTTAAATAATTAATATGACGTTTTTCAGTAGGATTGCGAGTAATATGCCATCTTTTTCTAAGTCTATTTCTTTCTTGTATAAGGGATTTAATTTCTTCTGGGATGTCCATAGGGATTTTTATTCTTGACTGTATAGGTAGCATTATTGATAGCGTTTTGAATTTTGGAGTTTAATCTGGTGATTTCCAGCTCAATATCGCAGTCATAACGAAGTGTGGCTCTGCTGTTAACAGAATTTAGCTGTTCGGTAACCATATACCAATTAACTTTTGTATGAGCTTTAGGGAGAGGGGGATAAAATCCATAGAAGTTGAAGACTATAGGGAGATGGTCAGACGAAAGTTCTGGGAGAACATCAAGATTAGGAATATTAGGAAGGTTTTTCATCAAAACTATATCTAAAATATCCCCTAGTCCGTTGTGCGTATAGTGCGTTGGGTGATTGGGAGCAATGAGATTGATGTTACTATTGTGGATGAAGTTGCTTAAATTTTCTCCATTTCTATTTGTGACTCTACAGTTCCAAGAGGAATGTTTAGCATTTAAATCACCTGCTATTAAGGTGGGGTAGTTATTTTCAGTAAGTAGTTTCAGATTATTGAGATCAAGAGTGCTGGAGGGGGGATTGTAGACGGAGATAAAAAGAAAAGGTTCTCTAAAACCACTATAGATAAGTACTGCAGCATTTTCTATAGTACAAGCAGGGATTTAAATCATATTTGGCTGTTTTGATATGGTTTTTAATGAGAATTGCGTTTCCTCCCCTCTATTATGTCTTCTGTCTTTTCTGTAGATGCGGTAGCCTTGTATTTTAAATTTGTCGCAAGAGCGGAGATGGGTTTCATTTACTAGCATAACATCAATGTTATGTCTAGTAAGAAAATTTGAAATTTCCACTTGTTGGTATCTGATGCCGTTTGCATTATAGTAACAAATCTTTAAGAAGCTATTTGTAGCTGAGATAAAATTTATTTGACTATGAGTTTGATTAAAATTCATAGTTTAGATTTGAGAAATATTCGAAGGCCGCCATACCGACCTCTAGTTTGTCTAATATTGTTTTTGCTGTTTTAAATTTCTGGAAGAATTCTTTAACTTGAGTGAATTGGATTTTTATCCAGTCAAAAAAGCCAAGTGGGTTTGAGTTTGTGTCTTCTGTTTTACTAGTGTTTTCATTTTCCTTGGAAGTATTCCATGCATTTTTTGGTTTGTTCTCAGGGAGTGAAGGAAAATCCTTTTTGTTAAATTTAAATTGTTCTTTTTTCTTTTCTTCTTTGAAAGCTTTAGATTCTTCGATTTGCTTCTGAACATTATAAGGATGTTTACTGCAACCTTTGAAGGAAGAAACGTGATTTTGCCCACAGAGGGCACAGACAGGGAGTTTGTTGTCATTTTTTGTTTGTTTACAAGTGAATGTTTCATGAGGCTCTGCACATTTTAAACAGCGAGGTTTATAGTGACATTTGTCCCGTGTGTGCCCGTACCTTTGGCACTTATGGCACTGCACGGGTCCAGGGCGAGCTTTAAAAGGCTCGATGAAAGACATCCAGACCTCTGAGTTTCTTTAGATCATATATTCTTTTACCTTCTTTATTTCTAGATTCTGAGTTTCTTTATCATATATTCTTTTACCTTCTTTTCTAGTACATTCTGCTATAAAAACAGGAAGATGAACTTTCTTTCCTTCAATAGTGTGAATTACTTGTCGAATTTTTTGAATTGGGATACCTTCTTGGGCAATTTCGTTTTTGATTAGTTCCATATTAGCTGTTTTTGGAAGTTTTTTAATTATTGCCTTGATAGGCTTTTCACTGTTGAGTTTAAAAGTATGAAAAGGAATAAGTAGTTTAGTTAGGTATTCAGTAACTGTGCGGTAGTGGTCTGAGTCATAAACTCTTATGGTCAGTGTACCTCCACTTAGGTTTCCACGATATTTTTTTATATTTAATTGCTCTTCAAAATCTTCTTTCATCTTATCCCAATCCCCCGTGAAGTCTGCTAAGACTATAGGGGGAATGTGTCCTGCTTTTTTGTTGGGTGTAATAAATTCACCTTCCTCTGCTTCCATATTGTCTTCAGGGTTTAGTTCCTCGAATTTATTTTTTTGAGCTGGTTCTTCAATTTCGGAATTTGATAGAGTTCTTTTATGAGTTTTTCTAGGGGTTATGTATCCTTCTTTATCTATTGTGGTTTTCTTTTTGATTCTAGATTTTTGACTAGCAGTAATATCAGATTGATTTGTTTCCTCTGTTGGATTATTTAGGGTTTCTTTTTGTTTCATTTCATTAATGTATAATTCTAAGATTTGTATATCCTTTTCCATAGCATTGACGTGGGCTAAGTGAACTTCAGTCGCATTTTTTGGATTAAATGAATTTTGATAAGCATGAAACTCAGAAAGCATAAGTTGCTTAAGTTTTTCTAAGTTATCGCAGGTAACTTCCAGATTTCTGTGATCACACACAGATTTGATACGGTTTTCAATCGCCTCCTTGTCCATGATATGCATGAATCCTAACTTTTAACCTAATGGCGAAAAGAATAAAGAAAACATACTTATCGTGAACATCAAGAAGAGACGACAGCAACTCAGGATCAGCTTCAGTAGTGAGAGCAATGTCGTTTTCCCTTACTTCACAAAATCGCAGGAAAAGCAACGCCGTAGACAGAAAGAACAATTTCTTTAATCAACAGCAACACCTCATGCCAGCACTAACTCTGAGGGGTTGAGCCAGAGCAACGCGAGATACTTATAGCAGAAGTAGGAATGACGTCATCTCACGGCAACCAATCAGGCGGCTTTTCAGATGACGTAACATCATGTTTCCTTTTTGCATCTCAATTAGGTTCAAACAGTCCGTTCTCAACGCAAACAGTGGCAGCAAGAAAAAGAAGTAGAAGTAACTACTATATTACATTAAAATAAGGACTAAACTAAATAAACATTTCAAGGAGGAGAGATGATGCAGTAAAAGGTTTAAAAATAAGCTATATTTTCCAACACCTCAAAGCTACAAACTTTCTGCGCAGCGTAAGACCTTTACGGCTGCGAATATGCGTGTGCGCATGCGCAAAATACGTTTACGAATGCGCGTTTAATGTATAACGGACGGTATAAGCTAAGCTAAAATTATCTAATTCAGTTAATGTTGCAGATTGCGTTGTTCCTTAATCTTCGAATTGGATCCGGCTTATTATTTTTTGCAGACTGTTAGAGCAATTTTATAAAAGTAAGCTTGAACTTTCGATTATGTCAAATAGAATTTCTGATATATATTTACTAATATGTAAAGGATCTACAAAGCGAAAGTATGTTTCGAAGTCATTAAACAAAAAGTGGAATTGCTGCAAAAAATGGATAAAGGCACACCCTTTGTTTATCTAACCATTCCGAAATCTGTTTATCAATTTCACGCTGCTCTGCGTGTGTGGGTGGTGGTGGGGGGACGTCGCGGCGCGCAATGAATTGGAAGTTGATCTGTCAGCACTATCCTTATCTTCAGGGCAGATGTTTTTATTTTATTTGGCTTATATTTCCTTACTAAATGTAGTATTTCATCTCGATGTTCTCCGTCTTCGATATGATTTAAATAAAATTCTTCGTCATTATAATTCACTTCCGATAGCCAAGAAAGTGACACAGAGGTTATTGAAAACGAAAAAATTTCGATTGACAAATTAATCGGTATTCTCGACACAGCAATTATAGGACTTGAACAGCGGAACTTTGTAACTGAGCAAGAAATTATGTCTGTTTACAGAATTAAAGAGAAAGTATTATCACATAAAAAACGAAGCAACTTAAACCACTTACATTGAAAGAAATATTTAATAAAGTAAACAAATTTAAATATTATGCTTTTTTTTGTAAATTTTGATACCCTTTAGATCATAATTGTTCTTTATTTCATAAATTACGGTTTCATATTTTTAATTTTATAATTTCTGCATGCGATCTTATCAGATTTAAACTGATGATCTATAATCCAGAATCGCCGAAGTCCCGACGAGTCCGGATTAATGACTTTTGACTGTATAACAGAACACAACAGAAACAGCTACTGTGACTTTGAAGTCTAGAGGGAAACGTGAACTAATAGACTGACTACAATAAACTTGATATCCTTTGAGTAACTAATGGTGCTCATGTTGAAGTGTATTATTATAAAATTCTTTGAGGTGCTAAATAAAATTCAGTCAGTCCTTATTCTTTATCTCTTATTTTGTATTATTTAAAGCATATCTTTATCTGGTGAATAAATTTTGAACCTGTATTTTAGATTCATTTTAAGCCTTATATTTAGTAAATTAAGAAGCTATAATGCAGCTTTTTTTAATCATGATTTTCATCAGTGCTGTACTATAAATGGATCTTTGTTATTGACTGCCCATATCTGTTGGTGTAGAATTCTTTATATATATATATATATCTTAATGGTAGCAGTCCCCCAGATTGTTAGATATTAGTTGCATGGCACAAAGCCCATTTTTTAATAGACAAAAAATAATTATTAAGAAGACAAACATACAATAATAATAAAAAAAAAGCAGGGAAGAAGAAAAAAAATAAATAAAAATAACCTGAAATTCCAGCCAGGAGCTAATTTTGCTTCCGGATCATCTAATCTCCTGAATTCATAAGATGGAAAACAGTGCTTTTTATCATAATCTAGATTGCAATCCCATTTTATTATCACGGCAATGACGCCACCCTATAAAATATGTTAGCTGTTTATTTTCCCCACTAATAAAACTTAAATTAACTGAATAAATTTCATAATATGAACACAAAAGAATGAGTATTAGAAATTACAGATAAAGCAGGCTTTGAATATCATTTCACTTTTGATTTCAATTTAAAATATTTCCATAACTTTTAAAATCAGAAAAATGTTTCATTTCATTTGGTATTTGTACCCATCTGAATAATTAAAAAAATTAAATTAAAAAATGACACTTTTAAGATATGACATTTGAATAACATGACAATGAATAAGACTAGCAGATAACCCTTTATGCTGCATTTCATGTTTGTGAAATATCACATATTATTATGGATATAAATAAATTTTGCAAATATTTACAAAATACATAAAACATACCATCGCATGCAAAAATATATTTATGTAATAATAAATGTTATATATTTATCAATGTTTTGTATGATAATACAAACTAGAGCTTGGTATCTGTATCTCCAAAAAATTTTCCGCCCCAATTCCTATTCATTTACAGAAACTAGAGGATAAGACATTACATTTCGTTTAATACAGATATTAAAAGCTATATATTTCTCATATAAAATGGAAGACAGAACAAAAATAAAAACTTAATTTGTATTCAATTGCTGAAATATCAACTTAAAAAAATTATTAAATTAATAAAGAACATTAAAAATACCTTTTTTGATAAATAACAAATAACACTGAAATAGGATAAATTAAATCTAAAAAGCATTTCAATAAATACTTCCAAGTATTTTTTAATGATTTAATTTTTCTTGCTTTAATTAAGAACCCCTCTGCCTGAATTCTACTTTATTGCATAATATTTTTTTAAATCTATATAAAAATTTTTAAATCTATATAAAAATTTTTAAATTTATTTGCTTCAAGATATAATAATTTTTCAGCCCTTTGCTGTGATCCATTGCTTGATACCTTACACACAAAATATAAGATACTGACTTTTTTGTCTTACTATAAATATTAAATAGTTTTATATCATTAAGAAATGAATAAGTTTTTGGTTTGGTTAACTGATTTAGACAAAGTAGGTGAGAATCTTATTTGAAGGGAAGGCTTTCATAGAGGACTTTCTAAAGGAACTTTACTTCTATTCATATTACACTTAAGTAAAAACTAGAAAGCATACATGTAACACACCCATATGCTAAGGATTGAGCACGGACAAACTACCAGTATTCGGCGAGCTTATCACTTGGCCACTGGTGTTCAAGTAAGCCTTGATTACATTAATAATGTTTTTAAAACTAATTTTTATTTCAATTAAATGCTACAAAACAAAACACTTTTATTACATACTTTGCTATAAAAATATTTTATTAAACCAATAACTACTATTATTACTTGTATAACGAATTACAAAAATCTAAAATCTAGATGTCCAATACAGGGAATGAACTAATATTCAAATATCCAAAATGTGAAGGGGAAAAAAACAACTTAGGAATGGAGATATTGATTAACCTACTTTCGCAACATTTTGGGGATTTCTTTTACAGACTTTACTGACATTTCTGCATGCCATATTCGAACAAATGCTGGCTACTGAAGTAGCACAGGAGCCAAAGACAATATATTGCTTAACGTATTGACGCTGGCTAGTATCACACTTTCAGCACTTGAGAGGTTGTAAGAGGTTAGCATTTTTCTACCTGATTTAAGCTATAAAAGAAGCCTTGGATATTGCCATGTCCACATGTTGTCTCACTATATTTAAATTGATTATCTAAAGTCCATAAATATACCAAACCCTGAATCGCTGAAGTCCCAGCGATTCTGGATTTCGGACTTTGTAAGGCATATAATATATTCAATATACTACTAATATTCAATGTTTCTACATTTTTAAATACCAGTTACATGAGAAAAGCTACAGCATTTTGTCCCAATTCTTTGATAAAAAAATTGAAAAACCTAAGCCTCTTTATATCTTTAAGAAAATAAAAATTCATTTTGTTGTTTCATTATATACAACACAAAAAACTTGGGAAAATCTTGTTTTATCTTCTGTCTTTAAATTCTTACTCTAGCCTTAATATAAAATAAAATTAACATTTATCTGATTATTAACAATTATAGCTGTTACGGAAATGAAACCAACTGCATAGTTCTGTGTGAAATTCAGTTTGTGAACATCAGGATAAAAATCTCAAATTTTATGTTAATCCAACAGCAAACTTAAACTTTACACACACACACACACAAAGGGGGGGAGACAGTTCTATATCTCCCGTTCTACTGGGCCGATTGACGAAATTCAAATAGAGTTCTTCATGTCTCGAAAGCGTGACTTAGGATATATATTAGATTTATATATAGCTCTATTCTAACATAGGTATTTTGACACAAAATCAGACTTTTTCTGAAATGACATACCAATTTTTTTACATATTTCGATTCTATGACTCAAATTTTGCTTAAATATTAAATTTTGTAAAATTTGGTACGAAATTTATGGAAAAATTGACAAATTTATGTTGCCGCTTTTTTTTTTTTCAGTTTGTGCCAAGAATAGTTCACATGGCGATCTTCTTAATATATGGCAATCAATTTTCCTTTCCTTTTTTACACCCTACATGAGCGGAGGTCCCATAAATATTATACATGGGGAAAACCATGAAAATGCTCATACAGAAAACTCATTCGTGGGATTTGAATCTCGGATCAAACAAGCAGTGTTTAAGGATTAATTAGCAGTGTTTACCGTTCAGCCGCTGGTGGGCCTGTTCCAGCTCTGGAGATGATTGTCTGAAAGTCTGAGACACTATTTTTCACCATGGACAGAGATTTTTTCTACATACACATCATTTTTTCAAGTGCCACAATTGAGCTCTATTATAGAAAACAAATGGCACTTGAAACATCCATAGTCATTTATTGTTCTACCTGCAAATCCATGCAGAAAACATAGGAGGCCACATCATATTTGAATACCTTAGAAATTATATCGTTTTACTTAATAATAGATTACAAAGAAATATATTCACACAACTGAATACATACAACATACGTAGAAATAAATATTTTAAAAAATGAACATAGGGAAAAAAATAAAAATAGTATCTTACTTGAGAAGCAACTTGATTATAATCTTCCTGTCCACTCCACTTCACAATATCTCCTAGTTTAAATATTGGGCAATCCAGAAACTCAACTGGATCATACAGGCAGCTTTTTAAGTAGGAACTATTGGACGTATCTTTAATATTACGTCTGAAATGAAACTATCAAAATAAATATGGGGAAGATTACAGAAAAAAGTCACATGAAAATTACAAATATTACAAGTAGTTGATTAAGTTAAATACATAGGTGCACATATGTGTACATATACACTTTTGTGTGCAAAAGTAAGAAAATTATGCACATTTTTACAAAATATACTGAATCAAAGGTACTAATTATGCTACCAAAGAATCATTCAAATAATCAGAACTGAATACATAAGCATACACATGTGTGTCTGCAGAGGAGATATAAGTGCACAATAAGTTTTTGGCAATTTGTGTGGTCCTGCTAATTCACAGCATTCAGAGACTCTTGACACATGCTGATTGTCAGCAAATAAAAGAAAAAGGCCCGTGTCTGGAAAGAGCCTGAAACACAATAATCATCCTTCTCCCATCAGGCAAAAGTATGATTATGGTAGCAGAGGTGTAATGGTTTGAGAAAGCATTATGTTGGATAGCTGCACATCCCTGCATGTGTTTGACCAAGGTATGAAGATAAAAGAGATTTTAGGACCCTATGCTTAACTTTTCAGGATGCAGTTGGTCCTGGGTTTCTGATAATGGATGACGATGCTCATACACATACGGCTCAGCTGATCGCCGATTACATGGAAAATGAGGATATTCAACACACAGATTGTTGAGGCAGATCTCCTGATGTTAACTCTAGAAAGCATGTCTGGAATGCTACTAGGAGAGCAATTTCATCTTACCATCCCCCACCAAGGTCCATCCTGGAGTTGAAAAGTGGCTTGCTGCAGGAGTGGGACTGATTGCCACAGGGTCTCCTCAACTGCTTCCTGTCTAGTATGCTCTCATTGCTGCATGACTTGTCTGTCTAACAGAGGGGACCATACCCCATACTAGATTCATTTTCAATCACAGCATGGATTTTGGACATTCCTGCACTATGAGCTTTACTGATAATCATGAGTACATAAAATGACTTTTGAATGGTACATCTCTTTCATTGTTAAAGTTATATATTCATATAAAATTTCATTAAAATTGGTCCATTAGTTTTTCAGAAATTTGACATTATGCACAAATTTTGCACATGAGTGCAGCTTGAGCAATAGTTTTATGACAGAGCGATTCAGATAAGAGAAAAACCATTTAAAAAATATATCTGAGAGGCTTAAGTGATGGAGAAGTAAATAACTGAAATGATGCATGAATTGGCTATAATTCATACATCAGTCTGCTTCCAACATCTATAGTTAGTTCTGTATGTTCACACACAGAACAATGCTAATCTTATATTTTAATGATCTCAGATTAGCATTAATACATTATACTCAGCATATATATATTAGCATTAATACATTATAATCATATCATTAAGATGTGAGATTAGCATTCAGTTACAAAAGGGTTTAATGAGAAGTTTTGATCTGACTATGATGAAACCTTTGTTCCTATGGTAAAATATGCAATACTATGAGCTTTCTCATGTGCAGCTTCATATAAAAACATATCTATCAGACATTGATGTCAAAACAGCTTTCCTTCATGGAGAATTCAAAGAACAAATTTACATGGTTCAAGCTGAAGGATACACAAAAGCTGGAAATGGAAATAAGTCTGCAAGCTGAAGAAATCAATATATGGACTAAAACAAGCAGTTAGATTTTGGAATCAGGAAAATACTTTTAAACAAACCAAAGCAGACATATTTTAAAAAATGGAAAATTCACATATGTAATCTTATACATAGATGATAGGGAGCAAAAGCAAAAAAAGATGCAATTTAAAACAATCTGAAAACTATAACATACATTGGAAATCAAAGACCTAGAAGAAGTCACCTACTTCCTTGGCATAAATATCAAAAGATGGAAACTTTGTCATAAAACAAAAGAATAAAATTGAAAAAATAGTTCAAAACTCCAGACTTCAAGATGAAACACCAACATGAATTCAAATGGAACTGAACTACTGCAAAAAGGAAAATGAAGATAATACAGAATATAGGGAAGCAGTAGGGGCATTGCTATGCACTGCACAATTTGTTGGCCTAATATAACATATGCATTGTATGTACAGAGAAGAAGAAATGAAAAAAAGATTGGAATTCTGTCAAGAAAGTCATTTAATACTTGAGTACAACTTTAACTTGAAATTGGTCTTGAAAGAAATTCAAGAACCTATACTAACTGCATATTCAAATGCAGATTGGGAAAATGACGAAACAACCAGAGTGACAAAACAACAAATCCATTAGTGAAAACATATTCAGATTAGAGAATAATTGTATTTCATGGAACAGCAAAAGGCAAAACTGCATTGCATTATATTCAACTAAAGCATAGCACATTGCAAAAGCTAATATAGCTCAAGAATCAGAATGGCTGCCAAATTTAAATGAATACTTAAGACCAGAACAAAATTTACCAGTTACTGTCTATGAAGGCCATAAATCATGCATTATACTTTCACAATCGAAGAAAGATAGTTTGAGAATAAAGCATACAGATGTCAAATACCATTATTGCGTGAACTTTATCAATCCAAGTGTAGACTACCGTAGCAGCTCTGACATGATTGCAGACCTGCTCATGAAACTGCCATGATAATCTGTGTTTGAGAATCACTGCAGATGCTGATCATGCCTATAAGGTACAGTTGTTGGTGTACAGTAATAGTCATCATTAAACTGTGAGACTCACCACATTTCAGTCCTTCATGCTGATGTGAAAGGATAAGCATACAAAATCTCTTGCCTAATGACTGCTTTAACTATACTGAAAATCATTTGTATAGTAGAACATCTAACTATTCATATTTTTGTTAAATGCTGTTAAATGTATGTTAATGTATTACATAAATGTTTTTCATCTGCTATTTCATGTACATTCTCTTTTGGATTACAAAATGAAGACTATGGTGACACACTATAGTACTGAAAAGACAAGAATTTTTTTTTTTTTTTCTTTTCTTTTCCTTACTTCATTAATTGTATAAATATTTGCAACAAAACCAACGAACAGGTATTAAAGAGACACAGTGTACTGGAGCTTTTAAAGTATCCCTTATAACTCATTAAATGGCTTCGGCATCCTCAAAAAGTATTCACTTTTTATCAAGTTATCTTGCTGCAGTAAATTGTGATACATGGTAATCTGAGCTCTTCTGCAGTTGGCTTCCAGTGGCTTCTGCATTTTTTTCCCAAAAGTCATATCAACCACTACCAATCTTTCAAACTGATTATGTATTATTATTGTGTAAGTCACACATATTTACTCCCACTCCAGCTTTATGAATCCATATTGCAAATATAATGAAATTTACTGAGCAACTGTAAAATCATGTTCACTGTTCGGAAGTCTGGAGAAAACTCTTGAACTTCTTTTGTTGTCCATTTGCTATTATGTCAGAATTCATAAGTCTCTAAAATATATATAAAGCTTTCTGCTACAGCATAAGGTTATGCAAATTGTTAAAAATTCTTTTATCTAATTTTAGGTTTATATCCTTTAAAAACAGTATTGCTTCCTAAGTTTAGTAGGCCACAATCTAAACAATGCAAAATAGATGAATCTATTAAGAATGTTATAAAAATCTAATTGAGATTGCTTATTAATGTGAGGAAAATGAAAGACTATACATGCATCTCAACCACCTTAAAAAATGCATATTTTTTAAAAAGAAATATCAAACTGGAAGGGGTATCCTGTTACATGATAATAATAAAACTGAAAGATGAAATGAATGAAGGAATACAAAAATAAGTTATGTACACTATAAACAGCAGTATAAATACAGTATTTATTTTAGATAAAACATTCTTATATCAGTCAGCAGTAAAATAACCATCAGAATATGGAGCCAATGAAGAAATCTGGTAAACTGAAAAATGAAGTCTGTAGTCAAATACTAAATAAAAGTTATATAAATCCTCTAATAACAGATACTGTCTATCATGTGCTCTTTAAATGCAGGAGAAGGAGCACATACATGACAGTCATGTTGCTGAGTGTACAGCTCGTAATTTATGTAAATAAAATATAATCAGTTAATAATGCCAATACAATGTTAAAAGTTGCACATATTCCTGTTACATCACTCAAAAATGGGGAAAAATGAAGCAAGATGAATAAATGTTAATGAAAAGTGATAGTTGTATTTATAAGTTCTGAAAAATCAGAAATAGATAAAAAATTGTTTAGTTGAAAAACAGCCATACATGTGCATATAAACTTCAAAAGCCAAAAAATGAAGCAATTTATTTCAGTACAGCAAATAATATAAACTGGCAATAATAATAATAATAATAATAATAAACTTTCATAAATAGTTTTGTCTGTAGTTATTTTGCTGATTTCTCCATGAATAATTTTCAAAAAAGTATTATAACATACAAACATAATCTTACTTTTCAAAATAAATTACAGATGACAACGACAAACTTTTTTAATGTTATTTTTCACAGATTTATACAATTTTATGTTACTAAAAATTAACATTATGTTAATTATTACAGAAAAGAATGAAAAACTCATTTACAGTTTGACAGAGGTTTCAAATGAAAATGCTCAGCCTTTTAAGGGATTGAATTATTAAAAATTATAGGAGAGCATTCAATGGCTATTACTTAACAGGAGCTATGCTTTCATGGAGGATTTTTTAAAGGAAACAGACTCCTATTAACATTACACATGTGAAAGACCATGGAAACTCCTACGCAGTCAGTTTGTTTGCCAGGATTTGAACTTGGAAGGGCTGAACTTACCAGTATTTAGCAACTTTACTGTTTGGCCACTGGCAAGCTTGCATTTCATGAGAAAATTTAATGTTGATCACTCTATATTGGAAGCAAGGGCACAAAGTTCTATTAATCTCAATGTCATACAAAGCTTTGATTTTGTTTAATTTCATATTTAGCACATTTCTCTTAGAGATGCGATTTTTTACAACCTTAATTATGATTCACTTAAACACTTTCGAAAAATGAAATTATTAATTATTAAATAAAGTTAAAAAACTGTATTGTGAATAATGGGCATATTTTATTAAAGTCATAAAAATCTCTAAAATACATTCTAACAAACTAAAAAACAAAATAGCAATACCTGTGAGAATCAGCAAACTTTGGAAATTCTACAAAATTTTTTATTAAGATTGTGAAGTCTTTACTGGCTTCCAAAAGAGCAGTCTTATTTTTTCTATAAAAAATGTATAACTGTCATGATAATTAATTAATAAGCAAACTTTAAATAAAAGAAACATCTTAGTCAAAAACAGAATGCAAAAATATAAAGCAGAAGAAATAATTTAATAAAGAACATTCGCATTACATTAAAATCAGGCAAAAATAATTGATAGAAATTAGATACTGAATGCTTATTTTTGAACTTTATGTTCACATGCTATTTCACTGAAATTATGATTTTAAGTTCATCAGTTTCCAGGATCGACCAAACATGAAAATTACAATAAGCTCTCTCATCTTGACTCTCTTCCTAAGATGACTACCTATGAAAATGACTGGTATAGTATATAACAGTCCAAGATCTAGAATTGTTGAGGTGGTGGTTCCAGATTTCAGAAAATTTTGACCTTTTAGATCATTTTAAATTAGGACCTATCTAGAAATCGATCCATGTTGGTAGTCTTCAAATGAAAATGCCACAGTCACTCATGCATAAAATTCTTCACAAACATTTTAATCTGTATGTATATAAACAGCAAATATGACACAAAATTCAATCTGTGCACAAACATAAAGTAAAAGAACTTTGCTACAGACTTACTTAATGATACAATTCCCAGTTTTCTTTCAGTAATATGTTTCAAGGATGAATTAACATTATATACAAGCAAAAAGGTTAAACCCCATAACTTTGAAGTTTGGAACTGTAATCAATGGTGCACATGTAGAGGCATATTGACTACGTTGCATAAAACTTGAGCAGCATATCTATCTTTAATATATAAAAGTTCTTTGTGGAATTTTGTTTTGTAAGCAATCTCAAACTGTATACATCATTTGTAGATATCCACTATTTCTAAAGAGAGGCGTGATACAACAATCAGCTACATTTGTAATGGAAGGGGTAAATAACGGCATTAAACAGTTGATAAAATTGTATGTAATAGTAAGCAAAATATTTTCTGCAAGAAAACAGATTAAAATGACTCTTACTTGCCTTTCTTAAGAGGTATAATTTTTATTAACTACTATTATTAAAAACAAACTTTTCATTATTTAGTAGAGCTGATTTGCACATCTACCCCCAGACTTCCCTCCAAATAAGTGGAAAATTTTTATTACATAACTATGCTGAACCATATTCACTCCACATCTCTCTCTCTTGTATAAACCTTCTTAACAATTTCATGGCATAATTTAAAATTTTCCCTTTATTCATGTAATTTTCAGTTTACATTCTGAATGACTTGTTCCTGATAATAACTCAAGACTGTTATTTAAACATGTATCTCAAGGCTATTCATTCAATTCTTTAAACTCATAGCCAAAGCTATTCATCTTTCTCTTCCATGGACAATTAAAAAAAAGGGGGGATGGAATGAATACATAATGTAAGGGCAACACTTCCTGGAGATTCAGAATTCAGGTGATGTTGAATGATAACAAAAGAATGCATCTGCGGCATGATAGCTGATAGGATATTTAGTTGATACATCTAGTTAGCTGACAGGAAATTTAGCCCTCAACACATTCCCCCAACAACATGTTAGCTGACAACCTATACATTCAGACAAAAACATGCGATAATGCTTTAGTAAATTGGATGTTCAGCAAAATAGGAATACTACGTTTTAACACCCTCTAGCCATGTTTTACTAAACAGGTTAAACAGGTTTCATTTTCATATAATGAAAAATGGTGTAGAAGAGTGATACAATTTCACATGAAGAGATAAATAAACAGAAAATTTTACTACAGTCAAAAGTCTTTAATCCGGACTCGTCGGGACTTCGGCGATTCCGGATTATCGATTTTTCCGGATTATAGATCATCAGTTTAAATCTGGTAAGATTGCATGCAAAAATTATAAAATTAAAAATATGAAACCATAATTTATAAAATAATGAGCAATTATGATCTAAAGGGTATCAAAATTTACAAAAAAAGAAGCTTAATATTTATTTGTTTACTTTATTAAACATTTCTTTCAATGCGCGCATGCGTAAAGCATACATTACGCATAGCCAAAATTAGAAAATTGCGAATAGAAAACTATTTGATTTGTATTCATGATATTTATAATGACGAGGAATTTTATTTAAATCATATCAAAGACGGAGTACATCGAGATGAAATACTACATTTAGTAAGGAATTATAAGCGAAATAAAATAAAAACATCTGCCCTGAAGATAACGATAGTACTGAAAGATCAACTTCCAGTTCATTGCGTGCCGCAACGTTCCACCCCTTCCCGGGCAGAGCAGCGTGAAATTGATAAACAGATTTCGGAACGGTTAGATAAACAAAGGGTAAGCCTTTATACATTTTTTGTAGCAATTCCACTTTTTGTTTTGATAGACATCGAAACATACTTTCGTTTTGTAGATCCTTTGGGAGCTCCAGCATCGGAAATTCTATTTGACATAATCGAAAGTTCAAGCTTAATTTCATAAAATTGCTCTTACAGTCTGTAAAATATAATAAGCCGGATCCAATTCGAAGATTAAGGAACAACGCAATCATCAACCTTATACCGTCCGTTATACATTAAACGTGCACGCTAAAATGTATTCTGCGCTTGCGCACACGCATATGCGCGCAGTCATAAAGGTCTTGTGTGCACGCGTAAACGCCTTTCTGCATGCATCAATGCGGCGCATGTGCAGAAAGATTTTAGCTTTGAGGTCCAGATTATAGATCATTCCAGATTATGGGTGTCCGAATTAATGACTTTTGATTGTATTACTAAAATTTCAGTTCTATCATCGATATATGAAAACTAGAAGTCAAACTGACAACTTTCAAATGAAAATAGTTAACTCATACTCAATTTTAAACAAACATTAGCAAAGCATTTTCTCCTTCCTTACTGCATGCTTTTAGAGTGCAACTGTAAGCATGTCTGGCTATCATTTGCAAAGTCTGGAGTTTGAATTCCAGCAAAGGTATACCTGATCTTTCATATTTTCTGTTCAAAGAAATATCTAATGACTCATAAGTGGCACTCAAACTAAAACGTGATAGATAATAATTTGTTGCTACCTGGATTTGAAACTAGATCTCATCCTTCCAAGTTGCCTTTTAAGTGGGGAAGAATATAAGGAATTTTCTTCTGCCTTACAGCATATCTTCATGGCTATACCATGAAAGCATAGTCAGCGAGCAATCAGGAGTCTTGGGGTTCATATCCTGGTCAAGGCATTGCTGATTTTTTATATTTCCTGCTCCAAAATAAACCCAATAACTCTATACATTTACATGTTTCTTATAATGTGACACAAACATGATAATTTGAATTTATGCATAACTTTGGAATTGCTTTCCATACAAAATCATTTCATTCTGCTCACTTTTTGTAAAAGCTATTTTTTGTTCCTCAAACAGACAGACCTATGTCTATCTGATCATACATGAAATCAATTTCAAAATCTATACCAATCTAAAGGCTCATTCACACTGGGGTTTATCTGAGCTAACAAAGACATCCAGCATAGCCAAAGCAACTCAAAAAACACTTTCTTCATAGAGTGGAGCAAGCAGAAAAATTTGAATTTCACGTATAACGGAGCTAGTTGACACATGGACTCCATTAAGATCACACAAACCTCAGTGTGAATGGCCCTGAATGTTGCTTTCCTACCGAATTTTAAAATTCATGTACTAGGTAGCGTTAAATAAAAACTAAAATGTTAGGCCTTTGACTGGATAAAAACAAATATAAAATGCTTTTGGTCAGATAAATATGACAACATTTTACTTAGTCTAAACATCTGAGTTGTCAGATAAGTGCACTGTGACTGATTACAATTGCTGTCAAGTAAATGTCCTCTCAGCTAAGTATCACTGACCCAGTTAATAACTATAAAAAGCAATATACATATTTAAACATTCAAGTTAAAAATAGCATCAAATAACCTCGAAAAATCCAGTTTTTTTAATTAATTAAAAATAAAACTTGCTATAACAATATTAAAAATGTTATGTTCTTGCAGGTACAGATAAGCCTAAAAGAAACAACATCCTTAGAATATCATTTCGATACAGCTTGTTGCATAAACTATATCCTCCAATACATTTTAATAAATACAGTCAACTCTCATAATATTCTGATGTTAACTTCGCAGGAATTCTCATCACATACAAAAAAAAAAAAAAAAAAAAAAAAAAAAGTAAATTTTTGAATTTAGGAATCTTTGAATAATAATTCTTAAATTTAAGAATCTTCGAATCGTAAAGTATTTTTTTTTTATTTAACATGTTACATATTGTATGAACTTTTATATTGTTCTCACGTACTTAAAGAAATACATTTCCTTACAGAATAACCACATAATTTGAACTATTGCAAAATTTTATTTTAAAGCAGCAATTTCATAAATTATTTTACTGGTAACTTTAAATAGATATATCAGCAGAAAAAGTTTTAAAAAATGAGATATAGTTACAAAGGAAAAGTATCATCTTCCACAGGACACCAAGCAGCAATTTCACATGTTGACTTATCACTTTCATTGTTGACTTTGATGCAGCGACCTGTCATCACACCTTTAGATAAAATGTATATTAAATTACAGACTGAAATATTTTCATATTGTGAAATTTACACAATATTATTAATTTAATACGTAAATTAGAAACACATTCACTTTTAGAAAAACAGAAGAAAACTGAAATAAAGCAAGCAAAAAATGTTCTCTAATATGGGATCTGTAAAAATCTTCATCCCTGTAAAATGAAATAAAGTTCTACTACAGGCACACATAGTACATCTAGAAAGTTTCTAGGACTATACGTTTGGTTAATTTAAAATTAGGCAAACCAGTAACCTCAGAATGGAGTAGATTTTAAATAAAACTCTAACAATTTCATAGATGACCAGATACAGTAAAACAGTTTTTGCACCTGTTTTTTGTTTTTTGAAATCATCAGAGTTTTATTCAAATGCTATGCCCATCTAAGACTTTTTTTTTTTTTTTTGCTTAAATTTTGCTTTTTTTAAAATTAGATTTGGATTAGTTAATCATTAAGCAAATTACTATTGCCACAGAACTTACTATAAAAATCTGGAATTATAAAACAGTAATTACACTTTTGACTAGCACAAATAGTGCATAAGTTATACAAGCCTAAGATAAATACAGCTTAAGACTTTTACTACTTGTAGATAAGTTTTAATACATTTATAAATACAACACTTAACAGATATTTTATAAAACAGTAAAACAAAAATCTGCACTGCCTCTTGGACGCAAACAATGAATTCACAATTAATAAGATCACCAAACCACATAAATTTTGAACAATAACTTCTATTTCCTTGGTCTATCTTGTTAAACAGACGGTGCAACTCAGAAATATATATATATATGTCATAATAAAAGCAAAGGAAAAGCCGGAGCAGTGTTGATGCTTGCTTAGATCCATATTGAAGAAGAATTTTGATTGCGTAGTATCTAAAGAACTTGGCAGTCGAGGCAGTTTTAATTCCATTTTAATTTCCAATTGATATTTGTGGCCACAATCACTTGGCACTCTAGTCGTGCCTTTCCACAGAAGATTTACATTTTTGATATTGTTGGGATAGAAAGCAAGCCAGCGAAATTACATCTTAGCACAGTAGAGAGCAAAAGCTGAAGTGCGTAGTTATGAAAGATGGAAGCACGCGAAGAGAAAAGTTTTGGTTTGGTACAATTGGGTGGTTGGTCAAGAGGTTCCCAATTAAGGGTTACGTCATCAGAGCTGCGGCGGGCCATAGACTGAATCTAGAAATGACGCAATGCAGAGAAGTTATTACGATTTTTAGAATAAAGAGGAAGAATTAATGTTTATAGTTTAGACTATAATTCTGATTCATACATTTTTATCTTACATATATATATATATTTTTTATAGAAATATAGTGATAAAAAGTTTTTGGGATTTAGAATGAATCTAATAGAAGCTAAAGGTAGAAAAAGTGCTTCATTATGTAAAAGATATGATGAAATATGATTAAGTACTTCATGAATATGATATTATGTATTGGATGAGGAATTGAAACCCTTTATAAAATGACTAATGATAAAATCATTGACAGTGTTTTAAACCAATACCAGAAGATTCTGATCATTTTGATGGTATTTGAGGAAGGTTTAACTTTAGAAGAAAAATATTTGAAATCTTTAAAATAATACAGGTGTGCAACTTATCAGGTAAATGACTGCATATAATTTGGAAGAAGGGAATGCTTCATCAAAAACATTAACAAACTACCATAAATGTCTGAAAAAAGTAAACAGTAATTTTCCATATTCCTTTTTTATATATATTTTATCCTATTAATATCAGAATAACCTCTAATCCTAAGTTGTGCAGATTTCTGGCCTACTTTATTTCCTTTTATGTGATTTAAATATGATGTAAACTTAAAATGGAAATTCTGCAGTTCATTTTATACTAAATATAATCAAAACTACAATTATTTTTAAAATACATGTAAAAATTAGGCATTTGTACTTTTTATTGAATGAACAGAAATTGATAAAACTAAGTAACTGATCAGGAAGACTAATTTCTATAGCTAATTGTATATAAATATTGGATCATTTCAAAGTTGTGAGATTTTTCAAATTAAAGCACGTTTTCTTCTAATTACTTATATATATTGCTAATATGAAGTGACCTTGGTTGAAATAGATGTTCGAATATTTATTTTTTCTCATGTTGCATAGTTCTAAGCTTGCATTGTGGCATAATTTTTCAGTGTAATGCTAAGAATCAAGAAACCAAAAATTTGTTTTCCTGATATTATGCAATTTTTTTTTTAATAAAAAAGTGCTGCTTGGACTACTCCTAAAATCTGAGCTATGTATGGAAAATGTGGTATTTATAATGACAAAATTCAAAGGTGGTTTGAGAAATTTCAGCCTCAAAGATGATGCCTACTTTGGACGATCATCTTCTGCCAGCAAGGGTGTATTAAAAGAAGCTATCCCTGAAAATTCAAATTATACAGTTCAGAAACTATCACACAGATTAAATATCCTGAAAAATCTAGAACATGATCATTTCAAAAAGACTGGGTATGTAACTCATACTTTAATACAGCAGAATATGCTCGAATTTTGGCTTGCGATTCTTTGCTCAGATGAAATAAAGAAGCCCCTTTTAAAAAATTGGCTCATTACTGGAGATGAGAAATGAATACTAAATAATGTTATAAAAATTATTATGGGGTAAACCTCCTTTAATAACACTGTGAGGGAGCTGCCTTCCAAGAAAAAATACTCCTTAAGAACAGGAAAAATACTGTTCTAAATGGCAGTTTTAAAAGAAGAAATTGAAGCAAAGTGCCAAAAGCTGATGAGTTATTGAGATGCTGTCTTTAATTATGAGAATGCTTGTCCCCAGATTTTGAAGAATGCCAGAAAAAGACTATCTGAGTATGGGGTGGGATGTTTTAAGCCGCCCCCTATTCACTAGACCCCCTTGGACTTTCATCTGTTCAGGTCAATTCAAAATTTTCTAAATGACCTGGTGTTTTTATCTTTGAAGACTGTCAAAATAGCATGTTAATAATTTCTTTATGAATAAACTTAACAACTTTTTTAAAAAAGGAATTTTCCAGCTGCCTGAGAGATAAAAACATAGAATAAAATGGTGCTTATGCAATTCAATGAAGATATCTTATACTTTTGTACTTCCCTCATTTGTATTTACCATAAAATAACTGCAGAATGGTTTGGATGACCCAGTAGATAAACAAAAAATAACTTGAAATACAATTTTCAAAAATTTTAAAACAAACTATTATAAAACAGGCGTTTATTTTTGGTTCAATCAAAGCAGCAATGAAAGTTGTTACAGAAAATAAATGATACAGTTCTTTCAAATAGTGCTAGCAAATAATTAAAATATTCCAGATTACAAAATACATAATAAACATAGAAAATAAACAGATGTTTTTAATTTAGAGATTTAAAATGGCCTAACTCTAATAAATCTCTCCCTGCTACTAACTCTAATTTCCAAATTATTAATTTTACCTTGGTTTTGGTGAAATTTTCTGGCTAAATGATTATTCAAATATTCTTAATTGGACAATGTTCAATTTTTCATGAATTCTTTGAGAACTGCACAACCTAATACTATCTTGTATGTAACATATTTGGTGTTTTTGAATAAATTAGGCTTAAAATTAATGCAAGTACTTGTTATTCCTTTGAATCCAAAGCTCTCAAGTGCCCCCCTCACAGTTAATTCCCAAAGAGACAAACTCTCCACTTTGAGAAAATTGCACTACTGGGTCTAATATAAAGCACAGTAATTTACCATGGGAAAATTACTAGAATAGAAGTAAAACTGAAACAAATTAAAAATTTAGCAGATGAGAGAAGAAAAATTTTATATAAAGCATGATAAGATATAGTGAGCATTAAAATTACACCCCATACAGTTAGTGAGCTTTTGTTCAGCATGCAAGAAAATGCTCAATTAAATCAAGAAAATGCTCAACAATTTTACCCGTGTTCCAAAAATTAAATAATATACTAGAATTCCAAAAGCTTTCAGAAAAATTTTATGTTCCCTTAATAAGGGGTTTGAATCTCCACATCATTGTCTATTTGCTATGTTTGAAATCATATCTAAGGAACAATAAAGAAAACTCCATAAGAAATTGCATCAAAAAGAAAAACAGATTTACTAATTGCACAAATACTGGAAAGAATTTTTAGCTTCATATTTCATTTTTATTATTTATTTGAGAAAACAAATTTAATAAAATTGATTTCAAATGCAAACACTATGCTATGAGCTCAGCAAAAAAGACAAATTAAGTGCTAACATAAGCTAGCTGCTGTATATTTTTATCTAAAAATAAGGAGGGTCAGAAATTCTATTTTATATCTGAAGTATATGAAATTGAATACAATGGAATACAGGAAATTACAATAGACAATAGAATAATCCCAGAACTTTGTCTTAAAAACAAGTAACAAAATCAATAGATAGATAAGAATTAATTTGACTAAGTGGATTCATCCCATTTCACAAACAAAATAAATTTATTGGAACATAACCTTAAAAAATACTCTTCATATCACATTAATATTCAAAAAATATGGCTAGAAGTTCCCAATAGCACCAATACCATCCATCTAGAAATTAATTAGGAAAGATAAAATAATGTTAAAATTTCCAAACATACATAGATCAGAAGTTATATAGTACTTCCATAAAAAGAGACAACAGAAAATGACACATAACAGACAGGGCATATAGTAAAATTCTTAAACATTCAAATAACTTACAGAAAGCAAAAAGCTAAAGTTGTGGAAGTCGTCTACCTACAGTAAAGACACAGACTATCGTATGAGACTAAGCATAATATCCCTAAAATCCTCCTCAGAGTTGTTGGAAATAAAGGAGTTATTATTCATTATTGTAAAAAGATTTTTCAATTGAATAATTTGATTAACATGAAACCACTGAGATTATAAAGTGAAATAAAAAAATAATTAAAAATTAAAATAAATTTTTACTTAAACCTCATAAAATAATTAATGAACTAAAGGAAGAAAAATAATTTATCACCTAGTTTAATAAAAAGAAGATATTGAATAATTCTCTTTACAAAACTGTTCTGCAATTTTATATCATGAATAAAAAGGCATGAGGTATCCTTTATGAAATTTAAATAATAACGGCTTATACTTTTGACAATGTTATTCAATTAATAGATTTCATGATTTAAACACCCACACTTTCATAATTCGTGACATAAAATTACAGAAACATTTTATAAAGAGAATTAATTTAATCTCTTGTTCCTGTTAAACTATGTGATAAAATAACTTTTCTCCTTTTATTTCATTAATTAACTGGATGTATTGGCTATCCAGATATCCAAACTGCTCTGGAAACAAAGAATGTAAGATACCAGAAACTGATAGCTAAAAGAATGATAGATAATTTTCTATTATGCTTGTGTTTTTCAGAAAAATATACTGTGAAATGCAGAATTTATTATGCAGATAGAACACAATTTCTTCCCATCCATACACATTTTATTTTCATTAAACACAACACATATGGATTTTTTCTCCTTTTTGCTAGTGGATCTTGCAGAAGACAGTGTTTGATATTTCCAATATTTTCCTTTAAAATGTCCTAGCAGAGTCAACATGAAAATAATACTGATTACTGCAGCCATCTAATAAACTGAAATGAAAATCTTATTGGACAACATAATTTTATATTGATAGAGTATTAAAGTCCGAACTTCCAGACTAGAACCAAATCAGACATCTGCATATGTCAGAGATATCATTGTTTAAGCTTATTAAAATATATAGAAATATGTCCCCGATACATGAGAAATTATTTTATGAATCATATAAGAGCATGTGGAGAGGAAGCATATTTGTTCTGTGGTCTACAGTCTCCTGATGTTTTAAGTTGAACAACAGTAACAGCATGAATGTTATAAAGGTGCACACAGGAGATAACATGAAATTGTGAACTAAAAATTTGCAAATATATAAAAAAAAATCTTTACTTTCGAGGCAAAATTTAGACAATAAAATAGTAAAATAAAGATAATTTAAAATTAATGCAAGTAGATCAATATAAAAACTAACCATTACCACCAGGAAGACTCTTGCCTGCAATACATGTGTTATTGTCTGGATTGCAATGAGCTTCATCAATGGAAGGATCCTGAAAAGAAAAACTGATTAATTTTAAGTTAAGAAGGAAAAAAAGGTTATTCCATAAAACACTTCATTTAATATGCCTTATTTAATGAATTATTCTAAGTGATGTATCTCAAAAGCCCAGCATAACTTAAGATTTAAAGCCACTCATTAACTTAAGATTTCACATTTCTAAAATATTTATGCACAACAGTGCATTTGTGGATAGGCATTAGCCTACTCAGTGCAACACAACAAAGTCAAAAAAAATTTTTTTTAATACATAATACACACTTTCGAAGAATAAACCAACCTTTCATTTATACGGCCTAAAGTCTGGTATACTGATTTATCAGAAACGTAAAAAGGATTTCCTGCCTTTAAAAGTAATAAATAAAAAGCTCAGGACACTAAATACATATGAAGAATATCAGGACAAGGTTGACCCAAGACCCACAATAATGAATGAGGATCGTTATTTGGCACCTGTGTTGCCACATTTTCAGCATGCACCCCCCCCCCCCCCCCCCCCCACCCCCCCCCCCCCCCCCCCCCCCCCCCCCCCCCCCCCCCCCCCCCCACCCCCCCACCCCCAGTGGTGACACAGAGCTGCTACAACTTCACATCATACCTAAGCTATACACTGCCACTGAACGCACCATATTCACATTGATGGTCTACTGAATGGCATCTTTCAATTCCACCACAGTAGCTAGGAAGCCCAGGTACATACGATACTTTTAAGTATCCCAACAACCAAAAATCTGCCGAGTCTAGCTTGGTAATTGTGATAGCCAATTAAATTTACAACCTCGACTTAGTCTTTGGAGAAAGTTTCGAACAGGAGAGTCTTGACTTCACGTGCAGTGTGTGTGAGGGTACTCATCTGCCACGAGGTGATTAGAGGTAAAGCATGTCTTTATTGCAATGCAAGTGTGACATGATCATGAAAAAGTATTACATGCTGTCTGCAAAGACTGCACAGGTTTTCCAGCCAGATACAGGACAACACTCTTTTAAAAAACGAGGACAACAGTCTTAAAAAAAAAAAAGAAAGGGCCAAGAGTGAAACACATGGTAAAACCACACCAAACAGTCATATGGGCTAAATGCAGGGGCTTGGTCAGGTGAGGGTTTGATGTTGCCCAGATGTGAGTGTTTTGCCACATCAGTGTGCAGTGAAAAGATGCTTCATCCATTCATATAACATTCAGCAACCTTTTTTGGGACACATTTAATTTGTGTCAGCACCCATGTAGCAAAATATTATCGTTTATCTGTACTTACCAGCAATATTTGGTTAAGTACCTGTATTTTATACATATAGAGATTCACATTCCGTGCAGAATACATCAAATCGATGATTCCAGAATTCTCGTTATTCTCCCAGTTTCACGAGCACTGATGTCTTGGAAGTCAATTCTTTCATAACACTTTGTACAACGTGGATGCAGTCCAGGGTCGAGGATGACCTACCACTTCATGGATGATCCTCCAGATTCATTTCCTTAAAATGTTGCATTAAATTCGGCATCGCATTCAATGAAAATAGGAATTTTTTATCCCATCAGTCCTTTTTCCATGTGAAGCTTTTGCAACTTGTGGATTCACCATTCTTAAAGAAAAATTTAACCACCAACACTCAATCTGATAATGATAGCATGCTGCTGGCATCAAATGATGAATCCGTTTCAAGCCAGCTGTTTTATTGCTTGCCTGATTAGCATAAAACATCTCAGTATGATGCATGAGCACCTTCTTTTGGAATCTTTTTTTATATATGAAGGAAAAAAAAACAATGTCCCTCTTTTATATTTGCATAAATTAAAATTTTTCACCAAGCATTACTTCTTTTATTGTGAACTTTTGAAGTGTGTTTAAATTTATGACAGACCTGTACATACATATGTGTAAGCAAATTTCAGAGAAGTATATATATATGTAAAATATAAAAAATACAATGGCTTTGCTTTACACAAACAGGCAACTTCGAATTAACTTTCTGCAATTTCAGGATCTTTTCCCTAGACCAGTACTTTCGAGAACATTCTGGCATGTTATGCAACAAATGGTATAAATGCAAAGTTTGTGCCATTTTTTAGTCAGACTGTTTCCTACTATCGCTGTTACAAGACTCTGCGCCTGTTCTGTCCATCACTCTTCCCTTTGCTAGAAAAGTTATGAGGTCAAAATCCTAAATTTAACCTTATTTTAATTGAAACCCTTATTGGAGTGTAATATGGAGAATTTAATATAAAAGAATAATGATCTACTGTTTACACTGAATAAAGATATGGAGCTATAAAATTAAAATTTTCTGTGTCATCATTGGATGCCTTACTTACACTCAGCCACAACAATGTTGGCACATTAATTGTGCCTATTAAAAAAAAAAAGCTTACATTTTAGATAATTTTGCAGTAAGAAAGGAAGAATAGATAGACTGCAGTCCAGCTAGGCAAAGCATAGAAAGTAAGTGCATTATGTTCAGAGTTTTAGTTTCATTTACATCACCAGAACTATGTAAGAATCATATGACATGGATTCATCTAGAAATGATGCAGTACAGAGACAGTATACTATTTTTAGAATAGAGAAGGGAAATTAATTTACGCTGATAATTTAATCTTTTACACATTCTTTATTTTTCTTACACACACACATATATACAGGTTCATGTTTACTTATCTTCTCAGTTACAGTCTTCCACCCCCTTTTTTTTGAACAGTTCTACTTATTGGGACATCAAGCAGAAGGGGAACTATGTATTGGCAATTTGAGCAAACTCAAAATGTGTTTTTCGACATAGAACGACAAAATGATGAAATTTAATGACATTCCGCTCATAACTTTCAGGCACATTTTGGGCAAATCTAGTGTGTGCACATATGTTTAGTGCATTTTGTTTTCTGAAGTTTAAGCACCAATTGTATCTGCATAGAAATCTGTAACTTCATTTTTGCCTCATGTTGAATCATTTATATGGATGCAGAAATTCTGACTGGACTTTGCTCTTCGATTTCCTCTCTATATCAGGCCATTCTGTAGGTTTTCAAGGCCTTCTTCAACTAAGGCATCTGCAGCAGGGTTTATTCTTCTGGTAGTCAGTTTTGGATTGTTTTCTTCTGTTGGTTGGAAAAATGGCCAAACTTATACATAGCAGCACGATTTCCATACACTTTTGGAAACTGGATGACATAAATACAACAATGTATGATAATCTTTCCCAAGTCATTTCTGGGAAAAAATGTAACAGTTTAAAACAGGCCTAACATGCATGATCTAACATGATGCCAGCTATCTGTCACTGACAGTTTCATTTGCTGCTATCATGACAAATGAAACACCATCATTGGCAGCAATGCTGCTATTGCATAAGATACACCCAGTTTTCAGACACAATTTTTTTTTTAAAGTGCTCTTAGACTTAGTATGGGATATGCATGTATGTGTACACATACGCAAGATATCAAAATGTGAAGAAAAGTTTATTATCATACTAAAACTTATTTGAATGAATTGGCGACAAAGCTTTAAATTACTAATTTTCAATTAAAGCACAACTACTTCAAGGCATCTGCAATTTCCTGGTAGTATCTACATTGCTGTAAACGTTTGCTGAATAGCTATCCAGAAATAAAACAAAGAATTTTTAAGCTTATAACCAGTACTGCAACTAACTATGCTTCCTCTTTTGCTACTTATGTTTGCTAGCTAAAGGAATCTCTTGCTTAAATGCATCTATTCATTGCTAAAAATGAAATGCATCATAATCGATATTGTGAAGTGCAGATTGTCTCCATTGTGATGGGCCATGCCATAGAGTTATCAACAAGTAATAATGATGTTTGGCTTATCAGGTGAATTTGCAATTCTTCAAAAGTTCCCATCATCTTCTACTAATTCTAATCAACATTTTAGTGATCTTCTAACTTCATACATGCATGCTGTGTGCAGATTACAACATAATCTATAAGTAAAATTATAAATTTTGTAATCAGCTAATATTTATGATAAAAATAAATTGGTTTCAAGATGTTGCTAAGAAATCTTACAAACAGTAACTTTTTAAGTTATTAAATTATGTTGTATTGAATAATGCAATTTCAGAACAGCAAAGAAAAATAGTAGATCTCCTGCATCAGTGATTGGCAGCAGTATCAACTTATAATGGAATGAACTTACAATGCCTCCCAAAGTGAAAACAGTTACATCTAATTGCAAAGCTTATAAACTAACTAATGTATTATAATTACAAATAGTTATAAATGTGGAGGTAGACTCATCGACATTCACTGCAAGTGTGACATCATTTGTCGCAGCCCAGCACAGCAGACGACCACTGAACATGATGAGAACAAGATGTGTTCTCAGGATCTCAGCAGGGCTGAGGATCCAAGATTCCTTAGGTTCTGAGTCCAAATGAATGATGTTAGCCATGAATGAGAATAGACATATTCCCTCAAGGCATGTGCTTACGTGCCTGTAGGACTTGTAGATACAAATAAAGTGTGAGAATTAGTATTACATGAGCTGATGAACTGTTAGGAACTTATGAATCTTTGTGGTATTCTCATTTAAATCAATTACATCACCAGTTATATAAATTTCATCTTTCATCACTCATTTATTCCCTTTTATTACTTTCATAATAAAATTAGTTTAGTTACTTTAACTCGTGCTCATCTCAATGAGTGTTCTTCATGTTGCATAACCACACATAAATTAAAAACAATAATAATTTTAATAATTTTCCTCAACTAACATAACAGCAAAAGTATTTCAAAAACAGAGAATACAGATAGAAAAATTACCTCTGCACAAGTTCCTTGAGTCTGGTTAGCAGTGATTATAATATTTGTAGCAACAAACGTAGCACCATTTTCCTAAAATGGAAAATATATGTATAGCAAAGTCAGAACCTTAAAACACTAATATAACAGCTTTAAAATCATGAAATTTTAAATGCTAATTACTATAAATAAAATACATAAAAGAAAGCTTTAAGTTAAATATGTGCATACCATAATTTTACATTTAATCAGTTATAATCAAGAATATTTTAGTTACTAAACAATATTTTGTTCACAGTATTAACTAAAACCAAAAAAATTAAAAAAGAGGGGGGACAATGAGCATAGCAATGAAATATGTGACATTCACTTTTAACATCTCCCAATTTATCCCCTGATGTAAGATGACATTCAATTTAACTAAATATATCTTGGGTTGTTTTAATTGAAAATTCCATCACAGCAGCCTTGTGATCATTGTCAGCAGCCAATCAATAAATTTTGGAAAAAATGGCAAAAATCAGTTAATTACACCAGATGCTTTGAGCTTCAATTGAAAGAATTTCTGACCTATTCAATAGTGCAATAATAACAGCCTGCCATATGCATTAGGTTCAAGACAAGGATATATAAGAAAAGTCTGTAAAAACTGTTTTAATGAATAAGAAAAATAACAAATTTTAAAAAAAGGAATAAAAGTGGGAAACACAATAAATTTTCATTTAATTCAAACTAGAAAAAATAAGCAAAATTGCTTAAATTATCCAAAAAACTGCAAGCAGATACATAATATATATAGTGTATTTTAACAAACAAAATTGTTTCAAAAGAATAAATTGAATTTAAATACAAATTTAATTAATTCTTTGCGCCATTGCTGCAAGAAATGAAATTTAAATTTTAACAAACATGTATATACGTAAAAAGCAAATTTTAATAAGTTAAAATAATTTTAAAAAGTGCAAATATATAAAAGATTTAATTTTCGAACTAATCTACAATATCATTTAAATTCAGATAGCATAAGTAAATCAAGTGCAAAACCAAACCATGAAAAGAAATTCACCAATTTAGCAAAAAAAAAAAAAAAAAAAAAAAAAAAAAAAAATTAATCTAAAAAACTTTTTAAAAAATGCATAAGTGAATGACTGTTGAGCAGGCAGAAGACAGACTTATCAAGGGGAAGTTGCCCCCAAACCTAACTCTACAATCATTCAATTCGTGTTTCGTCATTCCTGCAGGCAAGGGTAAAAGTCAAAACCCAAAGTAAATACATAGTGAAGAATATATATAATATGTAGTATATTGTTTCATAATAAAAATGTTAAAATTTAAATTTAATTTGTGTAAATTTATATATATATAGTATATATATATTACTATAAAAATTAATCAATGGTTTCCTATTTAGTCTTATTAGTTTTAGGTATTTTAGACAGTTTATATCATGGAACTGAAGCAAGTATTGTCGGAATACTAATGGAAATGTACTAATGGAAATGTTTGATGAAATTGCTACTAATGGAAATGTTTGATGAAATATTTATTACAAGTGGGTGTCGATTACTATCTTGTGAATTCCAACCATTCAATATATGCTGTGACTTTTATTCACCTAGTTTGTTGAGGATTAAATTAACATTTTATTTTGCCTTTAGGTATCTGCATTTCTACAGAAAAGTAGGGAACTTGTGGGTAAATTTTGAAACATTTCTTTATTTCCTTTGAACAGAGGCATTTGTTTGAGTATCATTAATTTTAATGATGTATCCAGTGCTGCCTATTTACATTCTTTTTTCCATACAAAACAAGCACATTTCTTTTTTGGGTACTATTCCGTTTTGAGGATCGTAAAAAAATTGCAGCGAAAATGTGTGCGCAAAAGTGCCAAATCTAGCAAACGTGCCCATTTAACAGCGCGCCAAATCAAGCGTACGTGCTGATTTCAGATTGCGTAAGTTTTTATATAGTTATATATTTCTTAAGACGCCATTGAAGTACTAATTTAATTTTTAAATCCTTTTTTGATATAATATGGATTTAAAAATTTGGGAATTGCCCATGACAAAAAGTCTGTAATAGAATCTTGGGTAAAATGCAGAATTTCCCACTGCTTGACGCATTTTTAAGAATTGCACATACTCGGTATCCATGTATACATCGACCTATTTTCATTTAAAAAAAAAAAAAATCCCAGAACTGCACAAAAATGGCACATAACACACCCTGAACTTTATCTATGTACACATCGACCTATTTTCACTTAAAAAGTGAAAGAAAATTGACAAAAATCCAATTGTTTTTAACCCTTGTAAAAAGTGGCAAACAAATAAGTGGGCGATTCAACACCTTACCGAGAATTTTTTAAAGAAAAAGCATCATTCATTATAGAAAATTATGTTTGAACAACCACTGAGATGAAATTATGGTTTAGCGATAACTCAGTAGTGAAATAGTGATGCAAGCATCCATTCAGTTACGTTTAGCAATTTTTATATAAATTATAATAAAGTATTATATGAAATTAATCGGTAAAATCCTAGTATATGGTGCAGCCTCGGCGCGATTTTGAAAATCATCGCCAACACCAAAATTGATCCAAAGAATGTCTATATACTATACACTATATGTGTATATACATAGTATATACTATGTATAACTATATATATTCCTTGAATGACCCGTTTACTACTCATCATATATGTCCCAATTTTACTGCTCATCATAAAGTCACCAAAAGTAGCCAAATCCTGTGTGCACTGGATACTAGGATTAAAACAATTAATCTTTCATCTAAATTAAAACATCAATCTTAGATAGTTATTTACTATTATACTTCCTTTCTTGCATTAGGGTTGCCACAATTACGAGGGCTATCCAGAAAGTAGATTACGTTTTGGAATAAAAAAATAAACAAAGTATAGGAAACAAATTTTATTATATACAGATGAAAGCCACACTCAAATACTACTTTTCTACATAGTCACCATACAAATTAAGGCATTTATCGTAGCGATGTACGAGCTTGGAAATTCCTTCGTCGAAAAAATTCGGCCGCCTGCGCCTTCAACCACTTCGTTACCTCTTCTTGCCTTCCATCTTGCACAAAACTTGTGGTAACCAAGCTTTTCGCTGATGATTTCGTGCAACAAACTTCGCGAAATTTGTGGAAAACTCAAAGAAAGTTCCGTTATTGTGAAATTTCGATTTTCACACGGACTTTAGCATCGACTTTTTCGAGAAGTTCGGCGGTCACTATGCTGGGTCTCCCACTTCGATCTTCGTCGTGAACATTGGTTCGGCCATTTTGAAATCTTATGACCCACTGACGCACTCCACCTTCAGTGATAATGTTGTCCCCATACACTTCACGAAGCTGCCGATAGATTTCTATCGGTTTACAGTTTTTTTGCAGTCAGAAACCTTATTACTGAGCGCACCTCGCTCGCGGGATTTTCAATTAACGCAGACATTTCAAACCGTCACAGTATCTGAACGGAGCACAGCACGAACCTCTCACTAGCACGGCTAGATGCAGACTGAGCTGCGCAACGCTCTGACCCCAAGATGGCCGCGCTAGCCCCGCCCCTAGCGGACACAGACGGAAACGTAATCTACTTCCTGGATGGCCCTCGTATTTTTGGCAAATATGAAACCAGTCAAAAGTCTTAATCCGAACCGGACTTCGGCGATTCCGGATTATCGATTTTTCGGATTATAATCATCATTTAAATCTGGTAAGATGGCATAGAAATATAAATTAAAAATATGAAACCGTAATTTATGAAATAAAGAGCAATTATGATCTAAAGAGTATCAAATTTACAAAAAAAAAAAAAAAAAAAAAAAAAAAGCTTAATATTTATTTGTTTACTTTATTAAACATTTCTTTCAACGTGCGCATGCGTAAAGCATACATCACGAATAGTAGAAATTAGAATATTGCAACCAGAAAACTATTTGATGTGTATTCGTGTTATTTATAATGACGAGGAATTTGATTTAAATCATATCAGAGTACATCGAGATGAAATGCTACATTTAGTAAGGAATTATAAGCCGAATAAAATAAAAACATCTACCCTGAAGATAAGGATAGTGCTGACAGATCAACTTCCAGTTCATTGCATGCTGCGACGCCCCCCCCCCCAATGCAGAGCAGCGTGAAATTGATAAACAGATTTCGGAATGGTTAGAGAAACAAAGGATGTGCCTTTATCCATTTTTTTGCAGCAATTCCACTTTTTTTTTATGGACATTGTAACATGCTTTCGTTATGTAGATCCTTTGGCAGCTCCAGCATCAGAAATTCTTTTTGACATAAGTTCAAGCTTACTTTTATAAAATTGCTCTAACAGACTGCAAAAAATAATAAGCCAGATCCGTTAGAAGATTAAAGAACAACGTGATCTGCAACATTAACTGAAATAGATAATTTTAGCTTAGGTTATACTGTCCGTTATACATTAAATGCACATGCATAAACGTATTATGCGCCTGCGTAAATGCATATGCGCATGCGTCAACGCATTATGCATTCACACATGCACTGAAAGTTTGCAGCTTTGAGGTCCGGATTATAGATCATTCCGGATTATGGACGTCCAGATTAAAGACTTTTGACTGTAGTACCCTTTTTTGTTATGTTCTTCTCCCCATGTACATACAGATCTACTTTAGCTATAAAAAAATTGCAGAATTGCATAAATGTGGTTCATGCACAACTTCAGTTCAAAATTATAACATGAGAAGGAAAAACTTATGCTTGATGTACTTTAATGAGCCCCATTACACTTTGCATGCAGAAAGCTAAGTCTGAGATTTCAATGAAAACTGCAATATGCAGTCCATTGCTATGTTAAAATATATAAATTCTCATATGAGGCAACATAATCGGCGATCTCATGGGTCAAAATGTCCACAGATGTGGAAAGCTATTTGGGTGTTGCAACAAGCAAACTCATTTGCTGCATAAATAGTCTTTGGCAACATCAGAGATTGACACAAATATTTTTTGGGAACATGGTGCATTGCCTCTTTAATACTTTTTGTGATAGAATGGAATAAAAGACAGAGGTAAAAGAACGTTAAAAAGATATGAATGTGTATTACAAATTATTAATTATAAACACTTGCTATTAAAAAAAATGGTGTTTTTAACCCTTTGCGACACGCATATTTAAAATATATTTTAATCTTTAAAAAAATGCCTTAGAATAAGTCAGATGGACTTACTTAAGTGCCTTTAAGGCTTGAAAAAAATTCTGCGCTTTTATTTTTTACGGGGAAGGTGGGATACCGTTTGTCCCACCATGCAACTAGCACATGTCTTATAGCATATTGGTGTATAGCAGCAGGGAAAAAATCATATGTGGAATGAATAAACAAAATAAAGCGTGCATTCTAAAATATTCATAATAAACACACTTTTTAAATATGCATTTTGCATATGCACATTTTGCATATATTAATATTTTTAAATTTTAGGAACAAAAGAAAATATTTTCTTGAATATTATTTTAAGATTAAAATTTGATACTCGTACATATGATACTAAATAAAATATTAAAATTGGCACTTGATTCAAAAACATTTATATATGATTAAAATTGAAAAAAAGTCATTTTTCATGAAACTTTGAAGAACATGTTGTTTCATTCTTTTGTAAACATAGAGGCACTTCACATGTTTCACACATCCAAAATGTTCGTCGTTCTTCTTTCGATGTGCTGCAATATGCACATCTTCTCCTGCTCGTTCTCTTTGGTGTGTGACTTACATGTTTTAGTCTCTTTTCTGGTTGTATGAACAAGTTTTTCATTTTTTATTTAAACTGGGGATTTCAGTTTTCTTTTCAGCTGTTTCTTGCCTGCAAGTGCCATTAGACCTTCTATAACTTAGAGAAGAAAATCTTTCATTGTTTTTACATCATGATCGGGTTCGCGAACAAACTTAAATAGAATAAATGCGTTTACTATACTCGCATCTAAAAAGTAAAAAAAAAAAAAAAAAAATCATGTGCCACCATTTCTTGCTTTTGCGGTCTATTTCATATAGTCCTTTCAGTTGATCAATCAGTCGACATATCCCATATTCTTATTGTATGAAATAATGCTGTTTGGGCACATACTTTTTTTTTTGTACTTTTCACAGTTTTTTTTGTTTTTCCATCTCGTTCTTTTCTATTAATTTCTTTCATTTCAGTTGCCTTTTCCAAGCAAGACAGGATAGAAACGGATCTTTTATCCTTCCATTTTATGCAATAAATTGAATCATCGCTAACTGAAAAGTCTATATATCCTCTTGACATAAATTTGTCTTTTAAATTTTTGGGTAGATACTTCCGATTCATATTTACAGTGCCACATGCATAGATGGGTCTGTGTCTTTAAAAAGCGAAACAAATTATAACTACTTCCCTTTCTTCTTCAGCAATAACTTCAACCTCAGTTATTCTCTCCTGGATTTCAATTTCATCTGAATCAGAAACTGACATCTGAAGCATTTGAGTCGCAATCGGATGGCAATTCAGCAAAAAGATCCAAAGCTTCCTGAGTTGTTAATTTTTTTCTAGACATTTTAGCACACCAGAGCATACAACGGATGCAATCACGAAAAAAGTAGATGCAAAAAAGAAAAAAAAATAATCGTGAGTGCTGCCATCTATTGAGCGGAAATTCAAGTGTGTGGTGGGACAAATTTTAACCCACTTATTTCAACTGCAAAATTAATGTTATAAAATATTGAATCCAATTAAGATTTTTGAAAATAAAATACCTTTGAATATTAAAAAGAATCATACATATCCTAAATTGTATACCAAAATTTTTAAAATATTGAAAAATGCGAGATACATGGATATCACTCTTGTGATCCTATTTTGAATATTTTTTGCTTATAAACTTAAGCCCTGGTATAGTAGTAACATCTACTGAGAAAAATAATAACTAAAATAGATTATTTTTAAAAGATTAGAAAATTTCTAACGGAAATTGCTAACTGAGAAAATAAATATTAATTAGACAATATTGACCCCCCGCAAAGGTTAGTAATAACAGCATGATTGAAATTTACAAATTAAATTTAAAAAGATATGATAGATATATAAAACTTGTACGCTACAATATAAGGAAAAAATACGTGCGAGAGATACGTTTTCTATTAAAAAAGACATACTGATGGTGGTACTACAAAATCAGCAACATCCCAGACTCTTCGATACCATTCTGGATGCACCACTTCAGGATTAAAAGACTCATCAGAGAAATTTGTAAATGCAACACCTTTTACTTTAGTTGTGACTGAACTTTCAACATCACTGAACTCTTGATATCCTCTTTTATAAACCAATACATACCTATGGAAAATTCACAGAAACAGTAAAGCTTTTTGATTACATACAGAGGATGTTCACATATTTTTAAAACAATTCAGAATTAAAAAAATTAAAAAAAAAAAAAAAAAGGGTTTTGGAATAAAAATTTCTGGCAACCAGCTTATTACATTAAATGAGAAATTTTTTCCAGCTTATTACAAAAAATGAGAAATATGGTCTGCTACTTTTAAAATTATTCTTCTTTCAAAATGTCATTGGCAAAAAAGCATGTGTTTTTGCACTTTCCGAAGAGAAATATTCCTATTCCATAATTAAAAAACATTATGAAATGCATGATATTAAAATTTCTAGTTATTACTTCTATACAGAAAGAAGACTCAGAATACCCGAAAAAGATACTTATGTTTCCTAATATTTGTTAAATCATTGGCAACAAGAGAACCCCTGCAGATGCAAAGTCTTTAAATACTTCTATAATAACAACATATGAAATAATAAACCAAGATTTATAACTTAAAAATATAAGTTCACCAGCTTTTGCCATAGCATGTGGTTCAATGAAGAACAGTTTGTAGAACACTGGTATGAAAACTATTTAGCAGGAGATAAATGGAAATACACTGTGACCTTTGATGAAGCATGGGTTTACTTAAATGACAGCAAAAACAAGGAAATGTAAAGGGAAAAAATGTACAAACATTGTTTCTTCAATGTAAAAAAAGTTTCAGTAAGGGGTTTATGATTGTCGGAGGATTCTCTTACAATGGGAAATTAAAAATACACAAAGTAGGAAAAAATTTTAACATCAACTCAACGTGCTATCAAAAGAAAATTTTAATGCTACAGAGAAATCCATTTCTTTATCCCAAAGACTTTCAAAGAGAGAAACTTCATCAATACAAAGCAACAAATCATACTCAAAAAGTACCACTGCATTCCTTGAAAAAATTAAGACTGATACAGCTATTGCATATATACTTTTTCTTCGGAAGTCTTCTGACATATCACCCATGAATTACTATGCCTTTTGTCTCTTGAAAAGAGATATTTGCAAGCGCAAACCTGCCATGATGATCGAATCCGGAAAGTAGTGGAATAGGAATGAAAATCAATAATCCTGGAAATTTTTTTAAATGCCCTCCCCTCCCTGATGCAGATGTAAAGCCCATGAAAACAGTTATCAGATCAAACATTTAAAAAAAACTCTTTTTATTTAAAGCAATAATTAAATAGTCGTGAAATCATTCTAAGAATATGTAACTACTAATACAGTTACACATTTTTAAAATGTAACTACTATTGTAGTCTAAAAATGTGTAACTAAATATGCAAACATGATGGATCTAATTCTCACCAATAGACTTTGCTAACATTGCATCCAATCATCAAAACTTATATAGAGAGCCATTACAAACTGGTCATAACACAAATTATTTCACTGAAGTCCACCAGAGTTCGCCAACCATTCCTGCAGAGTTCTGAAGAACTGATACCTCTTTATTTAAAAACATCAGAATTTGACCATCTTGGTTTTTGGGCTCCAAAAAAAGCTTTTATTGATTTCTACTATTTTAAGTAAAGGTTAGATAAAAGATTGCTTACTGAGAATCAGTTGGGGTTACATCAAACGAAAGCATACATGTTATGCTACGATTATCCATAATTGGTGCTAAATTGTGCTACTTGTCACGAGTTTTGCAGTCAATGGAATACATAAGTACCATTTTTTATTGCAATGACAATGCCCCAATCATTAATCAACTAATGAATGGTGAAATTTGTAGTATGGTTCCACGTCCAAAACATAATGTTAATAATAGTGAAGAAGGTGAGAGAGGTTATTGAGAAAAATTTTTTAAATGTCGACTGACAATTTTGTGTGAACTCTCGACATTACAATTACAGGACTTGAAACAATGAAATTTTGTAACTGAAGAAGAAATTATGTCTATCTATAGAATTAAAGTATTATCATAGAAAATGAAGCCACTTTGACAACTTGCATTGACAGAAATGTTTAATAAAGCAAACAAATAAATACTGAGTGTTTTTTTGTAAATTCAGATTCCCTTAAGGTCACTAATGCTTCATTGCTTCATAAACCAATATTTCATATTTTTAATTTTATAATTTCTATACGTCATCCTGCTAGATTTAAACTGATGATTTAATATCTGGAAAAATGCCAAAACTGGAATTATCAGAGTCCCAACAAGTCCAGCATTGGCCACGTGGTTAAATCGCTTAACACTGTTATTTCAGCCTGGGTTCAATTCCAGGTAAACAGGTTGGCTGCATGGGTGTTTTTGTGGCATTTCCCATATATAATGTGTATACCATGGATGTAGGAAGTTAAATGGAGTGGCCCTAAACCCTTTTCCCCATACCCTGCTTTGAAGCACTGGCGATCCCTTCTTTGGTGACCAAAACATTGGGTAATTTACTATTGAGTTCAATGGGTTTTGACACGATCGGATGTAAATATTTTGTAATTACGTCGTAAATATGCATATAAATGTATATATTTTCTTTTTCTACAATACTTCAGAGGCCCAAGTATATGAAAAGAATACATTTTTAAACAAAATTTCATTCTGAACGGAATTAAATGCTATACTTTTCACAGAACAGTTTGCTCAGAATGGTTTATTTGAAATATTTCCACAAGTTTTCGTTAATTACATTAGAAAAAAAAAATTAAGGTAATTCGGTTAAGGATTACAAAAAGTAAGATCAAAGTTTATTGTATTATTAAAATTATGCATTATTTCTTTTCTATTTATAGAGCTTCTTCCTAAAATACCGTCTCAAATATGATATGATTTTTTAGCTTCTAAGGCATCTTTTAAATCGAAACTATCAATTTATAATTAATGCTCTATTCGGTCCATTTCAAATTAGAGCACCTTTTAATTTAATAGCACAAAATACTTTAAATAGTACTTAACTTTCTCTGAATATTCTCCAAAGGGAATAAAATAAGGATTATTTTTTAAATATTATTTAAAACTTGTAACTGACTTATATAAGAGGAATATATGACTGAAAAGGGGAATAATTCTTTTAATTATACTTATTAGATTTTTTTACCCTTAATTTCAACAATATATATTCCAAAACTCTTCTTTATTACTTTCTTAAGTATGCATCTCACAGAAATTGCTTTACAATACCTTTTAACAGATTGCTTTTCAATACGAACAATTCATGCTTAAATAGTTTTATAACGTATTTGTCAATAGGATGTCAATTTATGTTTACAATTCAATGTTAAGGTTATTAGATATTTAGTGTGTGTGTGTGATTATGACAAAGCCTCGAGGCTATCTGCCTAAGAGGAGGGATGCCTTCGTGGAGGACTTTCTAAGGGAAACTGGCTCGTATGCACATTACACATGGGGAAAACCACGAAAACGCCCATGCAGCCAGCCCGGCTTGTAGGATTTGAACCTCGGACCGAAATATCAGTGTTCAGTGACTTTACCGCTCGGATGCTGGTGGGCCTATTATATATTTAGATAATATTTATAATCATTATAAATTTAGATGTATTTAATAATTAGATTTCTTCACAGTAACTTTCACAGTTATTTATGAATGAATAAATCCTTCCTTTCAAATACATTTATAAATAATTTAATAAATATTTAAGTATATTATTAAAGGCAGAAACATGCTTTTTGGAAGCACATGCATAAATACCCATACATATTTCATATTTTCCATTTCCGGCATGTGGAAATCTTTCATTTCTGTGCATTCCCTATATTTTTCGAGTAAAGTAATTTACACTAATTTTAAAAAGTACATGTTACAATAATATGTGGATGTGAAAAAAAAAATTTTATTTAAAACATTTTGGCATTTGGAACATAAAATAAAAGTAGCGAATACAATATCAAGAGTATCAAAAAATGTATACAATTTTAAAGGTAGGGTGAGGTATTTTTCATTCTTTAAGCATAACTGTTTTGATAAATTCTATATTTTTGTTCAACAGCTTAGTTTTATAAAACAAATTCATGATCATCGCTGTTGTTAGTTATCGAAAATTAACCAAGATGTTATTTTTGCGTTGATGTCGCTAAACTATACAAATTGCTATTATCCATCTAGGAATAAACTAGGAATGTTTCTTTTATGCGGAAGTGTCCCGTTTTTTGATTTGTATGGAACTGTCGTGTGTCGAAACACTATCAGAGCGCTGTCAAGCGAGCTTCTGAATGTAAACAAAAAACACCCCATCTGGTGACCGAAGCTTCAGAGCAGTGCTTTACTTCTAATGCCGGTTTGGCCACTCCTTCCTTTCTTATCTCCATGGTATATACGAGCAAATTTCCTTTAAAAAGTTGGTTAATCTTTGGATTATGGTAACTTGGCGATTTTGGCGACCAACCCTGCTACAGCAACCTGCTAGTTTTGTTTTGGACGCCATTTTGTTTTCACAAAGTAAAGGCATTTTTTTTTTTCCCCTCAACATTTTTTTCCAACAATCTGCTAGCCGAATTACGCGTATGCTAGAACTTTTATGGAACAAAAGTGCTTAATCGCGACGAAGATTAGGTGCGAAATTGGAAGAAAGTGCAGAATCGCCCACTGCTTGCAGCGTTTTTAAGAATAGCACATACACGGCATCCATGTACACGTCGACCTATTTTCACTTAAAAAAACATCCCAGAACTGCACAAAAATGGCATTGCGCGCACTCTTGACTTTATCCATGTTCACTGCTAAAGTCCTAGCTAGTAACCTTTATCGCCTTACCAAAATGTCGCCAAACTACCTGTTACCATATTCCAAAGATTAGCCAAAAAGTCCTTTATGAAGACATCCCTACCCTTAGTACATCCTTAAGCAGATAGCCCTAGCATGCTTTACTGTAATCAAATAAACCAAATCCAACATGTCCAGAGCTCAGACTTTAACATATGTCATTCAAAATCTCTGAGAGTTAATTTTTGACATTTATAGGAGTTCTAATTCCCCACAGCGATTTTTGGATTATCTGTTCTATTTTGGATATCAATTATCAATACAAATTCACATTAATGCAGATAATGAGAATTTCAACATATTAGAAAAGACATTACATATGGTACAAATCCAGAGATCTTAAAATGATTTCATATTTTTTTTGGATATTCAGTTTAAACCTAGTAAGATGACATGTAAAAATTATAAAAATATGAACTAGTGCTTTATAAAATTATGAAGCATTTATGAAGTATTTTTCTTAAGCTTTATAAAATAATGAAGCATTTATGGACCATTTTCCTTAAAGAAATCAAAATTTACAAAAAGGGTTGGTTAAATTTTTATTTGTTTGCTTTCTTAAACATTTCTTTCAATATAAGTTTTCCCCTTTCCCTGCACGTACACATTTAGGAAAAGGGCAGAATCACCCACTGCTCAGTGCAATTTTAAGAACTGCACAAACTCGGTATCCACATACACATTGAACTATGTTTCACTTAAAAAAAATAGGAGAATTGCACAAATTCGGCACTGCGAACTCACTGGACATTGTACATGTACACATCGATGTATTTTCACTTAAAAAGTCAAAGGAAATTGATAAAATTCCAGTTCTTCTTACTCTTGTAAAAAGCATCAAACATAATGCCCTAAATAAGTGCGCGTTTCTACACTTCACCCACACATTTTATGACCCGATGCAGTCTCTGCATGTCCTACATTCTGCTGCTAAGCATGTCCCTAAATTCTAAAAATTTTGTATCTCAGTGCTTTTCTTAAATTCTAGAGATTTTGATATCACTTAATATTGTTGCTTGGTGCTTTTTTTTACATTTTAAAAATTTTGCCTACCCTATATAAATATATATATATATGTTATAATAAGAGCAAATCAAAAGACGGAACACTGTAGATGCATGATTAGACCCATATTGAAGAAGATTTTGATTGTGTAGTATGCTAGTAATGCTAACTTGGTAATATCTAAAGAACTTGGCAGTCAAGGCAGTTTTAATTCCATTTTTATTTGCACCTGATAATTGTGGCCACAATCACTTGGCAATCTAGTCGTGCCTTTCCACAGAAGATTTACATCTTTGATATTGTTGAGACAGAAAGCAAGCCAGTGAAATTACATATTTCCATCATAGAGAGCAAAGCTGAAGTGCGTAGTTGCAAGATGGAAGCACACGAAGAGAAAAGTTTTAGTTTGCAATTCGGCAGTTTCAGTTCCCAATTATTATATCATCAGAGCTGCACGGGCCATAGAGTGATCTAGAAATGACGCAATGCAAAGAAGTTATTACGATTTTAGAACAGAGAGGAAGAATTAATGGTTTATAGCTTAAACTATAATTTTGATTCATATATTTTTATCTTACATATATATATACATTTCAATTCTAGCGCTGGACCAGAGCTTATGTGAATAAAAAAATCTGTTACTCTCAATTCAAACAGCACAAAATGTAATCCTTTGTCATATAAAATCTATTTTTTTTCCTTAAGAAATTTCTGATACATTTCACCTCATCAATAATTCGCAGCACAGTTAGCTGATGTTTTCAATCATCCCAAAGCATAATGTTAACATGAAAGGTTACCATGCCTTTTGATATTCAATTACTAGTATAGTAAAAAGAAAAATGTTTAGATATCGGTGCATGAGTTATTTCTCAAGCTGCCTTGTGCTGATAGTCATGGCATGATAAAAGCAAAATATAATAATGATTTGCCATGTTAGGATCACGGACATAAAATGATTATTTCTTCAGTACAGAGGTATTTTATTTGGTTCCAAAGTGAAATTAAAAATCAGGACTCTTCATATGTTTTTCACTAGAAAATATCAAATACGTATGTATAAAGCATACAAAAAAAAAAAAAAAAAAAAAAAAAAAAAAAAATTTTTTTTTTTTTTTTCTTAAAAAAAAGTTTGCTGGTGGTGTAGATTTTAAATCATTCCAGATACTGGATGTCCAGATTTCAGACTTCAGTGCACAGGTCAAAGAAAAAAAAAGTTATAATTACATGCAAGTTTATATTAAAATTGCATGTAATACACACAAACATGAAAAACTCCCACTACATGTAAGGTAATTACAAAAAAGATTAAAATTTTATAATGGACTGTGCTGTTAACAATGACTGAATAATTATGAAATTAGAAATGTGATTCTCAGATTTACTTTTTATGCAGTATGAAAGATGAGCATTTCAGAATGCAAGTGAAAGGGACAAAAATATACTGAAAAATCATAAATCCTACAAACATCATATGCATTTAACATATGCATTCCCATATTAAAAATAAAGAAACTAAATCTACATATAAACTTTGAGACTAAAAGCACATATCTTAAATTAAATAAAAAGATTGAGCATAAGTTTGAAAAGAAACAACATATATTTGAACAAATGACATAGATTTGTTATAAACAGCTCATTAAATAACACTGCCCATTAACAACGCACATTTGATATCGATACAAAGCACGAAAACCTAACGTACATACCCAATTATATAACCAATTATGATTAACTGGATTAAACGACTGATGACACCAACCAAAATACTATTTATCTGAACAATTTTCGGAGTTTGATATGCAAATAAAACTTGGACAATTCTATGGCAGCTCATCGTGGCAATAAAATATTATAAGAACGTACAGCTTTAAAACCAATGTTTTTTGCTTAACCTATTGCGAAGTTTATTGAATAAAAAGGGGGTGTTAGCGCCTAACATCTGTTTTTAAAGTTACACACAAACAAACGCTAAAGCTTCCGGTTCCGGTTATTAATAGTAATGACAGTTATGATCATCTCTGGAAGCCTTTTTTTTGGCAGAAAGGATATTTTTTTTAATTACCCCATATTATTTGTAACATAAATCAAACTAAATTCTTCTTCTAATTATTATTATTATTATTATTTTCTGGGCGCAAACTAGACAGAAATGTTGCATAAGCATTATAAAACAAAGACTATATGCATCATAAAAAATCCTCATTGTTTGTGCAACGTACTCAATTAATATGAAATTATATTCTGAGCAGTGGGTTCTATTTTTTTAAACAAAATAATTAAAGAATTCTTTTGCAGTAAGATATGTGCCATGTGATGTCATAGCAAGCCTTCTTGAAACGGGCCAATGATGACGTTCACATTTTGGGGGAGTGTTATTTATTTAATGACGTCACATTCTCGAGTAAATAATCGAGTTCAATATGTCTACAACGTTTTGAGCCAGACGTCGTCATGACGCAAACAGTAGTGTTATTAATGTATGCGAAGTCTTCCGAATTTTTTTTAACTTGGAATTTAAATTAGTATAAAACATGCCTCCAAATGGAAGGAAGCGTCAAAAGTCCGATCAAAAAGTAATGAAAGAAATCATTCATAGTGGGCATTTTATGGTATCTGATATTGACGATTCGGAGGTTCAAGACGGAGAGGATATTCCATCCTTAGTTGTCCACGAATCGGATTGCGATCAAGAAAGTTTACCTTTGCCAGTTAAAGGATTTGATTTTGAATCGGCATGTAAAGAAACTTCTAAAACTTACACTTTTGGCTCTCGTAGTTCTCACTCGATATCCATTGATGCATCGCTAACGAAACTTTTCGAATGTATGACCTTAGCATACAGGTAAATTTATTTTGTAGCGCTAATAATATGTAATTAATCGCAATTTTGTTTCTTGCATGTTAACAAGAATTTTCTCATGTGTATGGAGAAGGTATTGTGTGTTTATAATGTTAGGGGCATGTTCATTGATTTATAAAATTTCTTCATACTGTATGTCGTTATGGGGAAAAGTTTGGGGAAATTCCTTATCAAAAGATCGGTGCTTCTTTAATCAATAAAAAGCAGTTAAATGCAAAATGAGGTTAAACTTCACCGTATTCTTTGTCATAGAATGTTTCCTGTATTATAAACAAGCAATAATCTTAAATGCAAATTAGGCGAATTAAGTTTAATAATAGAATTTAATGCTGTCTTATGATAACACGTAAAGTGTTCAAATTACTAAGTTTGAACTATTAGTAAACAGTACTGAAAACAAAGTTTGCTGGCTATTCTTTTTATGCTTATCATTAAGTGATTAATTTTCAATCCAAAAAATTCTCTTATACCTAAATCTGTGAATTATCTTATTACTCGTACTCTTCTTCAGTATTTCCGTATATTTTAAATTTTATGAGAGAAAATAAATTGAATATGCTTTTAAATGCAATGCCGTTTTCCTCTCTGTTTATTATAAATTATCATAAATATAAAACTAACAAGGCTTTATTTATAAAACTGAAAGCCTATTACGGAAGCCCTCTTGCATCTAATTTTTTCAGTGTAGTAGATGTCCATGTTGCAAATTGTGTCTCATGAAAAGTACATTTTATGTAAAATATTTCTTGAAATAGTTTTACAATTTCATAATTTTCATTCACAGTTATTCAAAATAACAAAGTATGTTTCACATTTTGTATGTTTTGTTCGTGTGGTTTCAATTTTTTATTATTTTTGTTAGCTCTAGTTTCAGCTCCTTGTGTTCTATAATGTCACGAAGTTTAAATATACAAGAGGACTGCAAATGAGGGGAAAAATTACTAAAAGAAAAACTATAGATAAATAAAAATTATAAAGGAAAAAATAAGTAAAAGAAAAATAAAAGGTAATGAAAGGAAGAGAACTCCATCTAAATTGAGAATGAAATTTCAAAAACAAAAATTGTCTTTTTAGTGTGAAAAACGGCTTTAGTGTAGAATTGGATGCCCCCTCGATTAGCAACAATTTTAAAAAAGTTTTTGCCGATTAAACTTCACTTCTGGCTACCATGATAGTTTTAACTGTGTTTTAGCTTCCTGATTTTATTTAAATGAATATAGATTGATGTGTACATGGACAAATTTAAGGCATGATGCTTAACATCCTCATCACTACTACTGCAGCTGCACAAAGCACTTGAAGAATGTTTAAGGTGCTTTGTGCAGCTGCAGTAGTAGTGATGAGGATGTTAAGCATCATGCCTTAAATTTGTCCATGTACACATCAATCTATATTCATTTAAATAAAATCATGAAGCTAAAACACAGTTAAAACTATCATGGTAACCAGAAATGAGGTTTCATCGGCAAAATTTTTAAAAAAATTGTCGTGAATCGAAGGGGCATCCAATTTTACACTAGAGCCGTCATAAATAATGTTTAAAACATTCGATTGACTTTATAGATATTAAAACCAATTACTTTTAAAGTAATGTGACATCATCCACAACATAAAATTCCATAAAATATTATATACAATAAAATTTTTATTTCAAATAAAAATGCAAAATTAAATTGATTTTTAATATTTAGAAGCCATAAATAATATTTAAAACACGGAATTTATTCATAATGAAATGCATTACTTTTTAAATAAAATGACAAGAAAGTATCAGTTACCATAAATAACTTGTCTAGCAATGGGTTTACCAAAGTTCGTATTGCTCGCCAAAATCCGTGCAACCGTCTACCAAAGTAGCACCCCTTTTCTTTCCTTAGAGTAAAATTCAGTGGGAAATCCTTTTCAATCTCTGTGTGAATGGTTTCGAAGTTACGATTGACGCACCATTTCTTCCCAACCGATACACTTGCACAGCACAGTAAACACACACGGGTAGAGTAGACTTTAAGGTACCCCTTGTATTATAGCAAACTTGTTGTTTGATTTATTGCCAAGTTGTTGTTTCATATATGGTAGCCTGAGTACTTGAATGTTATAGAAACCCTATTGTGACGTAATCAGGTGCATGATTCTGGGAAATTTTGAATCATGGGATGTTTTGTAAGCGTTTTTGTGGTGTGTGTTCGTTTGATTCTTTAGATGGTAGAATGGCCGAATGTAGTAAGATTAATTTGAAGTTTCTGTACGATTTGGGGTGAAAGAGCAAAAGAGCTTTAATTGACTGGTGTGTGAATGAAGGTTTACTTAGTAACCATTATAAGTGTCCTGTATGTAAGAAGGATATGCGTCTTGTCGAACGTAAACCGTTTAGATGAATGTGAATGGGTTTGTAGGAAGAAAGGTTCAGATGGTCACTATGTGAATCGTTCTATCAGAAAGAGTACCTGGTTTGAAAAAAGTCATTTGAGCATGATTGAAATTTTGATTTTTACTTGGTTGTGGGTGTACGAAGCGAACTCGAAAATCATGGTAAGTGAATATTTGTTTTTGGTAGTGCTTAAATGTATAATGTTTTCCTTTTTTATGTTATTTTATTGTTTGGTTTAAAATGTATTTTATTGAGATTATATACTTTTTGTTTCCCTATATTGTAGAATTTGGTGCTCCTTTGACTTTTTAAGTGAAAATATATCGATGTGTACATGGACAAAGTAAAGGGAGCGCGCAATGCAAGTTTGTGCAATTCTGGGATTTTTTTAAGTGAAAATATGTCAATGTGTACATGGATAAAGTTAAAAGGGTGTGCAATGCCATTTTTGTGCAATTCGGGGATTTTTTTTTAAAGTGAAAATAGGTCGACGTGCACATGGATACCTAGTTTGTGCAATTGTTTGTCTTGTTATTTTCACTTTGTGTAGCGGCGATTTTTTACGCAGAAATCGCCGCTTCGCAAGCCAAAATAACGAGTCAAAGAATTGCACAAAATTGGTATCCATGTACTGCCAAAAATCGCCAAAAGGTACCCTAAAATATACTTTTAGCAACGCACACATTTGTTATTTAACTGGGTAATGAAGTAATCAATTTCCCATTCCAAAAGAAATTGGTAATTTTTTTGCCTTTTGTGTACACGTGCCATTATTAGAACAGATGTAGCTTAGTACCAATGCATAAATCAAACTATCGAAGTTAGTAAATGTCTAATATACACACGGAAAACAGAACGTGCACAACCTCACATATGTAAATCAGCTATGAGACAATCAACAATGATATCAGGCTGACAGTGGCAGTTGCATGCGAGAAAGGAGCAGTTGTTATCATCAGCATCAGCTCAGTAGAGGGATCAAAAGTTAGCCAACTGCAGTGTTAACGCAATTTACCAAAAATATCCCTATGAGCTACTAGTAGCTCACAATTGACGGTTTGGCGATCACTGCTGTAACTTAATTTGCTGTAAAATCAATAAGAATTCTTGGTACTATTCAGTTTCGAGGGCCGTTAAAAATCACCAAACTATTGTTGATGCCACTGCTGCCAAAAATAATTGCGGCAACCCTAATAATTGTGGCAAGAAAGGAAGTATAATAGTAAATAACTATCTAAGATTGATGTTTTAGTTTAGATGAAAGGCTAATTTCATATAATACTTTTTTATTATTATAATTTATATGAAAAAGGCTAAACATGACTGAATGGAAGCATAAGAGTAAATAGCTATTTCAGATCATTATTATAATTTATATAAAAATTGCAAAACATAACTGAATGGATGCCTGCATCGTAATTTCGCTACCGACTTATCGCTAAAGCATAATTTCATCTCATTGGTTGTTCAAACGTAATTTTCTATAACGAATGATGCCTTTTCTTTGAAAATATTCAGAATCTGAATTCAGAAGTTCAGAATCGCTCACTTATTTGTTTGCCGCTTTTTACAAGAGTAAAAACAATTAGATTTTTGTCAATTTTATTTTACTTTTTAAATGAAAATAGTTCGATGTGTGCATAGATAAAGTAAAGAGAGTGTGCAGTGCCATTTTTGTGCAATTCTGGGATTTTTTTTAAAAAGTGGAAATAGGTCGATGTGCACATGGATACCGAGTATGTGCAATTCTTAAAAACACATCAAGCAGTGAGTGATTCTGCACTTTACCCAAAATTCTATTGCCGACTTTTCATCATGGGTAATTCCCAAATTGTTAAATCCATAGGATATCAAAAAAGGAATTAAAATCTAAAAGAATTCAAAATCAAAAAAGAATATAAAATCAAAAAAGGATTTAAAAATTAAATTAGTATTTCAATGGCGTCTTAAGAAATATAGAGCTACGCAATCTGAAACCAGTGCATACGCTAGATTTGGCATGCTGTTAAATGGGCGCGGTTGTTAGATTTGGCGCTTTTGCGCATACATTTTCGTTGCAATTTTTTTACGGCCCTCAAAACAGAAGAGTACCGAATTCTTTAGGCTTTTTCCTACCCTCTCCGTTAAATAAATAAATAAATAAGGTTTAATTGATGCTCTAGCAAAGCTAGCCATGAAAAGGCACATTGATTTAAATTTCCGTGCTCCTGTTTATCAGTGAAACCGCTCTTATGGAAATGATGTTATCTGTATTTGAAATAGAAAATATCTGGCTTTTCCAAAACCACAATGGACCAAAAGGCTTTTTCCTACACTTTTTCACAGAATAAAAGTTATTCAATTTTCAAAAAATTTTAATGCAACTCAGTTTTTGACTGAACATGGCAATTTTAAAAGATACCTAAAAAAGCGGCTCTAGTGTAGAATTGGGTGCCCCTTTGATTAGCAACATTTTTTTTTTAAATTTTGGCATTGAAACCTGACTTCTGGTTACAATGATAGCTTTAACTTTGTTTTAGCTCCCTGATTTTAATTTTATTTAAATGACAATAGATTGATGTGTGTATGGACAAATTTAAGGCAGTGCGCAATGCCTAGTTTGTGCAATTCTAGG